TTTCACCGTTTGATATTCGCAGCTATCTCGGACAGCTTGCAGATGCCCTATGTTTCTTGCACTCTCATGGGATAGGTTAGCAGTTCGTCTCCAGAATCTCTTGGCGATATACTGATTTATCATCAGTTCATCGAGATGTAAAGGATGAGAACGTTGTCCTCGGACCGAATGGCAAATGCGTCTTAATAGACTTCGGAAGTTCGGGACTTGTGAAGAAGAACGGATGGGACACATTCAGTGGGACGTAAGTTTTCTCCATGCTCACGGCTTCTACTTGTCGAACCAGTTGCTTACCCAATCAAGATTGGACTATGCGGGCCCTGAAATTTTACGTGGGGAGCGATATCACGGGAAGGAGCAAGACGTATGGGCGTTCGGTGTTGTGGCATACGTCCTTCTCGTAGGAGAATGCCCTTTCGTCACGGCAGCTGAGGCCCAAGAGGGGTTGACCTCACCGTTTGCGAATGCATCTATTGCACTGGATGAGCGTTGCGGTGATGATAAGGAGAAAGATGGAGAAGAGGAGGATGGAGGTGGAGCAGCAGGAGATGCTGCAGCCCTCGTCAGGGCTTGCTTGCAAGTGGAAGTGAGTGCGAGACCTACGTTTGAGAACATTCTGCAGTGTCGATTTTTGAACGGGGGAAAGGGTTGGGGGATGGAGCTGCCCTGCGGTAATTATCAACACCTATCTCCACAACCGAGCGCGTTTCCAGCACGTGTCACTTGATCGAAGGCAACGAGGCAGGTATTTTGTCTGTCAGACTCCCACTGATTCTAATGAGGATCTGTTCGGCCTATCTTGGACATCTCTCCTCTTATGTCGTTTCTTTTTATCTCAAACCATCAAATCTCACCGTATCAGCATCGATCTGCCATGAGGCCTCATAATATTGATCTGTTTCAACTAGCTAGCACGCATTGCTATCGATAGGTGTACTAGTAGTACATCGTAACCCTCTTCTTGTAGATTAATCATATCTGCGAATGTATCAAATTGATCGGGACATTCGAGTCTGTTCGAGTCTGCTTCAGGAGTCAGCGCTCAGCGGCAGTGTAAGATGTGACTCGGCCAGTCCGGCGCCACGCGGCCGGTGCCGAGCGGAGTCACGGCGGCATATCAAATCACCAGATTGATAAAAATTTTCCTTTGGGAAGGTATAACTATCGGCGAAATCAACAGGCTCTCTCTTTCTTTCCTACCACCACATCCCATTCCTCTGTTTTTTTCTCTCTTTCTGTACACTTAAGTGAGTCTTTTCTTTTCCGATCTTTCAAAAGATCCTGGTTACTAGCGCGATGCATGCCCTGATGTCCTTATCATCATCGCGCGATGGTATTCTGCGATTTTACATCGCCTGGTCTCTGATTACTATGATCACTTCCAATCCACCTTGTTGAAGGATCAATCACTAACGATCGCTCCATCGGACAGAAATCCTTCAAAATGGGAAAGGACAAGATTCACGTTAACGTTGTCGGTATGTATCTCACCATCTACATCTAGCTCATTGATCTGATCCATCACAGTTATCGGCCACGTCGATTCTGGTAAATCTACCACCACCGGTCACTTGATCTACAAGTGCGGTGGTATCGACAAACGTACCATCGAAAAGTTCGAAAAGGAAGCTGCTGAGCTCGGCAAGGGTTCCTTCAAATATGGTAAGTGACTAGATAATCTACATCTCACTAACGTCACTGATAACGATCTTTAGCATGGGTGCTTGACAAGCTAAAGGCTGAGCGTGAGCGTGGTATCACGATCGACATCGCTCTATGGAAGTTCGAGACCCCCAAGTACATGGTTACCGTAGGTTTTTTTGACAACTTTCCAAGTAATATCTGCTTATGGATTTTCCAGGTCATCGATGCCCCAGGACATCGTGATTTCATCAAGAACATGATTACTGGTACCTCCCAGGCTGACTGTGCCATCCTCATCATTGCTGGTGGTACTGGTGAGTTCGAGGCTGGTATTTCCAAGGACGGTCAGACCCGTGAGCACGCCCTTTTGGCGTTCACCCTCGGTGTCCGTCAGCTCATCGTTGCCGTCAACAAGATGGACACGACTAAGGTATGCATCGACTCTTCTGACAATATATCCACTTACACTTGAAATCAGTGGAGCGAGGACCGTTTCAACGAAATTATCAAGGAGACTTCCACTTTCATTAAGAAAGTCGGCTACAACCCCAAGGCCGTTGCATTCGTCCCCATTTCTGGCTGGCACGGTGACAACATGTTGGAGGAGTCCCCCAAGTCAGTTTTATATGTGTTAGCTAGTTTATCGCATTCTCATGTCTTACACAGCATGCCATGGTACAAGGGCTGGACCAAGGAGACCAAGGGCGGTGTTGTTAAGGGCAAGACCCTCCTCGATGCTATCGATGCCATCGAACCCCCTGTCCGTCCTTCTGACAAGCCCCTTCGTCTTCCCCTCCAGGATGTCTACAAGATCGGTGGTATTGGTACTGTGCCCGTCGGTCGTGTGGAGACCGGTGTTATCAAGGCTGGCATGATCGTTACCTTTGCTCCTTCGAACGTGACCACTGAAGTGAAGTCCGTTGAAATGCACCACGAGCAGCTTGTTGAGGGTCTCCCCGGAGACAACGTCGGTTTCAACGTCAAGTCCGCATTTGTCATTTGTTCGCTTGATTTTCACGCTTATATATATCTTTAGAAACGTTTCGGTCAAGGATATCCGTCGTGGTAATGTTGCTTCTGACTCCAAGAACGACCCCGCCAAGGAAGCTGCTTCCTTCAATGCTCAGGTCATCGTCCTCAACCACCCTGGTCAGATCGGTGCTGGGTATGCTCCAGTGCTTGACTGCCACACCGCCCACATTGCTTGCAAGTTCGCCGAGTTGATTGAGAAGATCGACCGTCGGAGTGGAAAGTCCCTCGAGGCATCTCCCAAGTTTGTCAAGTCTGGTGATGCTTGCATTGTCAAACTTGTTCCCTCTAAGCCTATGTGTGTCGAGTCCTACAACGAATACCCACCTCTGGGTCGCTTTGCCGTCCGTGACATGAGACAGACTGTTGCTGTTGGTGTCATCAAGTCGGTCGACAAGTCTGACAAGTCTGGCGGAAAGGGTGGGTCTTCCAGCTATTCTGCTCGAATAAACTTATTGATTGGTGTTCTCTTTAGTGACGAAGTCTGCGGAGAAGGCCACCAAGAAGAAGTAATAGATGTAGAACTGCCGTTTCCATATTTTTTTTCTTTCCGGCCTTCTGCTGTTTGCTGTCTCTCTGGTGCCGCCCATACGGTATTCATACCTGCAATGTGTCTACTATCATCATTTGTATGCACGATTAACGAAGCTGGCAGCGAGGTCATGACCAGTGGCCTCGCTCGCCTGTTCACTAATGTCGCGGAGATATTGTCTCGAATAAGAGCGAAGGGACTTAATTGTATCAATATTTTTATCCATCATGGGTCCCCTCTTCCATCGCAATCAACGTGTATCAAAACTTCCCAGACTGACGGGTTCTTTGTTGAATTCATATCTCATTGCCTACAATATTTATCGCGGATCTAGCATACGTGCTCGACTTGCTCTCCTTTGTCGACTTTGGGCCCAAGATCTCTCCCGATGGTTCTGTCAAACACCTCCATCATGAATGTAAATAAGGACCGCGTGAGGGCAGCATCCCATCGACCTTTGGAAGATTCATCTCTGATGAACGCGTGTTGCGCCTGCACTTCCAGAAACTGCATTTGTGGTGAACATTCTAAAAATGCACGCGAAATCGTGTAACTTACAGAGCAGGGCACCTTAGCATCCTCAAGAATCTTGCGGATGAGATCACGACCTTCGCGAGGGACATGCGTGTCCTAGCGGTATTAAGTTCAAACACGCGCCTCTTCTCCTAAATGGCTTCACGTACCTGTTTCCCGAAGATCATCTATGAAAAGTTTCAGCATGGTGTCACTGCCCTTCTCGATCGCAAATAAACATACCACGAGTTCACCTTTGCCTGACATATCCCCCTTGTGAACACGCGCAAGAGAGTTGTCATTTTTGCCTTTGCCAAGGGTTGCACTGTGAAGATCAGTCGCAAAGAAGCAGACTGAGGATAGTACACGGGGATCAAAAGCAGCCTTTACAAGGGTTAACGAAAACTGCTAGTAGCATCGTCGCCCTATCGCTTACCCGAAATGCCTGTGGTCTACATATTCAAAGATGTGGCACTGCAGGCAAGGCTGACAGACGCACCAAATGCCCTCCTAAGCACATTCCTGTCGCTGAGGTACATTTCAATGTCTAGTATGTAAACGGAAGGCTCGTCGACATACCTGCAATGCGACCGTTGCAATTTGGCAAAGAAACCAGAAGATCGACGGAGAGCGTAGCATCCTAGACCACACCTAATCGGAAGTCTGTCGACAACAACAGAACCAGGAAGCTGACCTCGTCGTACGCAGTTACGTCTTTCTCGATCTGACATGAAAATAGATGAGAATGTAAACCGTGACGATATGAAGTTACTTGCCTTGTACCTGTTCCCCCTATCAGTTCCTGATATTAATGACAATGATAAGCAACGAATGGAAGTGGCAAAGATGAAGAAACCGAGACATGCCTTCGGTATCGTATGGAATGGCCTCTGGTCCCTCAAATTCATGGTAGCTTGATGGGCAAGCGACCACATATCCCTGGCTTGCGATCTGACCAGCGAACCTTTCCACTGGCCCTGTCACTTGATAGATTTCACTGACGAATGTGAACAATTGTGCGTGAGTTCAGCCCACCGAAATCAGACCCACCTGAAGCACACCACACCTGTTCTCGTCCGCAAGCACTGGATCAGCTTCAAGAGAATAAGAACGATGATGACATGCGACTTACCGGGAAACTTTGCTTGTGGGTAATTTGGAACAACAGGAGAGACCACAAAGATACGGATTGGACGCCCGTTGTCGAGTTTGCTGGGCACGTCGTGGAATGTTTTGACGATGAGCATGGCCGTAGAGAAGTGCTCAATGTGGCTTCAGGTAGGTCGAGAGAACAGTTCAACCCACGTTCGATAAAGTGTGTGAAGCAAGCGAGTTTGAGGATTTCCAAGTCAAACCTTCAGTGTCTTCAAGCACAGTCTCCACCAATGATAATCCTCAGCGGAACTTGTTTGCCTCGAGCACTATCCATCGCACATGCATGGGCCTGCACTTCGAAGGCAGTTGCTGAATTTCCGAATCCTAAGGCAGCACTGCTGTGGATCGCATTATTGTTGTGCCTGCCTAGACAAACGTGCGATGAAAAGTTGCTACAAATCATGGCAGTGAAACTACAAGCTGTTTCATTCTCACTCCCATCCATTTGCACGGTATAATCATCACGGTATAATCATGACAGAAGCTCATGCGTGCATCCGGTTGTATGAGGCTTCCGATGACAAACGGGTCAGGTTCAGCATCGGAAAGGCCTCGATGGAGGGTCTCGCAGTCGCAAATCGGAGTGGTATGTGTCGTGACTGTCGTCCTCCACTTTTTCGCAATGAGTTGACCAAATAATCCTGTAGCCTTTTTCCACCCATTCACGCTTAGTGCCTGGGTGGCCCTGTCATGCATCATGATCCAGTATCTCAACTGGTGGCCTAGACCGGAGTACGGGTTCCTTGGTTATTTGCAACCTTTTCCAGCTTTTGGATGTTGGGGCGCCGTTATACTCTACCTCATGGATTGGTATGTTGATACGCACACATTACGGACCGCTCAATAATTTAACTCGATAGGTTCAACCGCCCACACTTCGAAGATGCGTCTCTTGACTTGTTGCGAAGACCAGATGTCGCGGACATCGCAAACTATTATCGGCGATCTCCCTCATCAGGCCTTTTCATCCTCGAGTATGCCGGAAAGTTCGTCGGTCTCATTGCTATCGACGCGTCCAAGGACTCTCAGTCACAAAGCACGCTTATGGACAAGGGAAAGCTACCTTCATCCCTGAAGTCGAAGCATACAATGCCTCAGGGAACATCGTCCGTCGCCACAATCCGTCATTTTTATATCGAGGAGCCATATAGGAAAGCAGGGATCCAAAAGGACCTGCTCGCACATGCCATACAGCATGCATTTAAAGTGGACAATACAGTCAAGGAGATCAAGGTGGCCACTACTTCCCTGATACTGTATGCTCAAAAGTGCATCCACGACGCCGGGTTTGCTTTGGAGAAGCCTATTGGCAAGTTTGGTGTTTATGGGTGGAAACTTGACCTACTCGTTCTCCGGAGGGCACAGTGGGAAAAACAAGATGTTGTTTCGTAAAGTTAATTATTTACAAATGTCGTAGTAGTTAGAAGGAACGGCTATATCGAGGACTTCAGTGGTTCCAGCGACTTGAGCCATATCATGTTGAAGCAACTTGGACTCACCACAAAGAGAAGATGTCTTTATTCTCTTCCATCATCAACAACCCAATAGGATTAAAACCACATCAACCACTGATTATCCTTCAGTCGTCTTCCGCACAGACATGTTATCCCATCTTGAGGAATCTGATCTCAAATTTCAGACCGACTACCCAGACTCTACTGTTTTGCTTCCTGCATCCACCATCGAGCTTGATAAATGTCGATGAGGCTCCAAACATCATTGCGTTCGACTTCACTGAGCGAATTCCCGGCTATGACGATCCGTGGTGTGGTCCTCAGGACGAGGTACTGGCTCGCATCAATTCTGGTGAGTATCAGCGCGTTTGATGAGCATGATTATCAGACTGGTAAAACTTTGTAGTACCTCCGGGATCACTGAATGTGATCATTGACTCTGTGGATACATTGACATCTGACCTCGGAACCACATCAAAAACTTACAAGTTTATTCGGACACTCCTCGGGCTAATTACAACGCGTTCTGGTGTGTTTACAGCACGACTGAGATATATGTGCCTACTTATGTTCCTCAAGAACCTTCGATCCTCACGTTACACGTCCAGCCCAGCCCTCTTCTCGAACTACTGACTCAAACTTCCCTATCACCAACACTTATTCATCTGACTGCGCACCCCCCAGCCATCATTACGCACATCGCCTCTGCATATCTTACACATCCTCCACCAGTTGGTCCGGCAGATAAATTCTGGAGTATCTTCATCCCCTTCTCTGAGCGTATACATGAAAGTGAGCGCCTGGTCTACGGCCCCGAAGGTAATGGGACGAGTGCCGGTGCATGGGTAGGCAAGGGCACAAGGGAATTTGTCGTGGAGGTCCTTGTAAGGGGTGGAGGTAAGCGCGGTGTAGAGAGGACTGTCGAGGGCTGGAAAGGAGATGTACCGTGCGACCTGCAAGCTCTTGGCAGCCTTAAAAGCATTTGGACTAGGAGAAAAACGGAGGAGGTGAGCGCGAACGCCACCTTGACATGAAATCTTATACCTGACCACACTATAGGCACGACCTGATCCAACACAGAACATATCGTTTAATCTAAATCTCACGCCATCACAGGAGAGATCGCGAGCCCAAGTCCCTCTACCTTATGCACATGAAGGTGGCGCTTCCTTCATTTCTCTATACTTTACGTCATTTTAATCTCGACTTCAGGCAACCCTGTTACAACAACTGGGGCGATTCTGTATGACCCTGATTCTGCCGATGATATCGATGACGATGATCCGGATGAGGACTTGGATATATAGCCTATCTCTATACGCGTACACAACACCCGTGACAATGCAAAAACTGTCGTCATGGTGCTTCCATGACGTCGAGAAAAAACGGAGTAGATGTGAGACAACCGTTGGTCCTATTCGCAATCCAAGATCCAGTCTCCTTTTTTATTTTCTCTCCTGTATACACCTGCGATATACTATGTCCAGCTCTGATATCTCTCTCGTCGCGGTTTGGCCTGACCAGCGCCAATTCATCATCGTGGATCGCATGGCATATCATGAGCTACCTAACCGCACGGTAATGTGGCTTCGCTTCGTTGGCACCTGGATTCTCGGCAGTATCTTCAGTCCGTCCAGTTTCAGGTTATTCAACACACTGCATGCGAATGACCCTTGTGGAGAGGTTGAGAGCAATGGATCAGCCGCCATCATCCCTTGTATTCCAGGAGAGGATCGTTTCTTTTATCTACATGTCGAGGGTGAGCTGTGCTTTTTCATCGCCGCTGTCCTAGCTGATCGTCTGGAATCAAGCTTGGGTTCCATATCCAAAATTTGCGGATGATACCAGTGATGATGCTCTCGTGGCAGTGGGTGTAAACGCTCTTGGTGTTCTGAGTCTTCGTTTATATTAGTACTTCTAGGATTCCGAGTCTGACTCTAGCTCTGATGAAGCTGAAGAAGCGGACGTCCTACACACTCCCAATTTGCCGAGTTTCCAATGGCTGCCAGGAGGGTTACTAGAGGGTGATGATTTGGATGAACTCGAGAACAGCGCGGTTGCGACAATAAGTCTAGAGAGCCAATTGCGGAAATTTTCTGTAGCGTAAAACTATGGCTATCTACTTACTGCACACAGTCTTTTATAATCCCGACATATGCACTGCTGAGCGCTGAGCGCTCGGTCTTTGTCGTATATATTAGGTTAACGCGAACTTCCGATTAATCGGCCCGGCGCTCGTATTCATATGATCCATAAGTACATACTTAAATCTCACACTCGATGCCTTTTGAGGATCCCAGTTTTCTTCATGTTGGCTAGCGCTGCGGTCCTACGTGCTAGGATCCCGTCTACGATGCGGAATGTCTCTACACATAGCGGCAAAGGCATCTCTGCGGTATTGCAGAAGAACCCAGATGATGTGGTCATTACCTTTGCAAAGCGTACCGCGATGGGGAGGAACAGAAAGGGTCAATTCAAGGATATCCCAGTGGATGAAATGATGCAAGCTCTGCTCAAGGTTGACTGGCTGTTTGTGGACTATCTACAGTAACTCATAAAACCTTCTGAATCTCAGGCAACCTTTGAGAAGACAAAGCTGGACCCCGCGAAACTTGACGACATTTGTGTTGGTAAGTGGAAGCCACACCCTGCTATGTATCTCTGTTGAACTCTCTGTAGGCACATGCCATCCTCCTTCTCCAATGTACTCCTCGCGGGCCGCTGCTCTCGCATCCGGCATTCCTCATGATGTTCCTATCTCGACAGTGAACAGGTTATGTGCATCCGGGCTTATGGCCATCCGAAACATTGCCCATGCTATTCAGTCAGGGGAGATATCTATGGGAATGGCAATTGGAGTGGAGAATATGACACTCAAGTGAGTCTCCAATAGTCTGTGGTACACCAATGTCAATCTTCGCGCAGCCCTCGTCCTACGCCTATTATTGCTGAATCTGTGGACAAAATTCCCCGTGCTCACGACTGCATCCAAGTGTGTCTGGGCGAGCTATATCGATCAAATACTGATTTATCTGTAGCCTATGGGTTGGACGTCTGAGATGGTTGCTCAAACCTACAAAGTCTCGCGACAGAAGCAAGATGAATATGCCCTCATATCACATACTCGCGCAAACAAGGTCTGTATGTCCAAATTTCTCTATGTTGCATCTTAATCGTGAGAACAGGCGATGGCCACAGGTATCTTCGCTGAGGAGATCATTCCGGTCGAAATCCGAGGGACTGTGATATCTGTTGACGACACAATCCGGCCTGGCGTGACGACGGAGATGCTATCTGGGCTAAAGCCTGTGTTCCAAGATTGGGGCAATGCAGCTACCACTGCTGGAAACGCCAGTGGCATTGGCGATGGTGCCGCGTTATGCATTCTCACGACAAGAGAGCGCGCGGAGAAGGAAAACATGGAAATTCTCGGGAAATGGGTTGGAAGCGCAGTCGTCGGTCTGTTATTTGTTGTGTGTGTTTGAGGATCCGTTGAACTGTTACTGGTGAAGGTGTCGAACCCCGCTACATGGGCATTGGCCCCATCGCCGCTATCCCTAAGGTCCTCACGCAAGTTGGTCTCACTAAGGATGATATTGACATATATGAGGTCAAGCACTGTCTTCTATGTTCTTTCTGTTTATGGCTTAACGGCTCTCACATAGATCAATGAAGCATTCGCTTCGCAATTTGCATACTGTGTCGAAGAACTTGGCATTTCCATGGACAAAATCAACCCGAAGTAGGTCATTCCAGTTGGAATACTTCTATTCTGATACTTGGTCGGCAGTGGTGGGGCAATAGCCGTGACGCACCCTTTGGGAATGAGTGAGTCTCATCGTTGTCTTGAAGCTTCGATAATTCATCTACAATTTATTAGCTGGCCTTCGTCAAGTTGTTACCGGCCTCGCAGAACTCCGCCGGAGAGACAAAAAGTTTTTGTGCACAAGTATGTGCGTCGGCAGTGGCATGGGTGCGGCAGGTATCTTCGTGAACGAGGCACAACCATTTCGTGAAGCGAAGTTATAGTTTTTGAATTGTTTGTATCGAGGTGTAGGTATATTGTACATATTCATAACTGCTTTCTCGAACAAGTCTCGAACGGTATATCTCGAACTTATTTGGCCGCTGCCAATGCCGCATCTACAATTTCTGTCATTTTTATAACTGCCTCTTCCTCCAGAGTCCGACCGACAAGTTGCAAACAAACAGGAGCGTTCTTGAATTTCTCTGGGTCATCTGAATCAATCGTTGGCATCAGACATCACTGATCAACTAGGGGTCATTCAGTGCTGGCACTACTCACACATTTCGTACACGTCCTGATCGAACTGGTCATAGAATCTATGAGGAGGGTCCTTCTCATCGCGAGCATCAAGAGTGGGGTCGACAGTAGTCACAGGGAAAATCGTAGCAGGATAGTCGAGTGCATTCCAAACAGTAGTATAGTTGGTGTACCTGTGCATCGTCTCATTGAAAGTTCGAGACCCTGAAGTTACAAAGATACTCACCTGTTCTTCCCATGGGGAGGTGCAGCATATGGTGCAGCTGGACAAATGATAGCATCGACAGCCCGTCCTGTGCCGGTCTCAGAGGCAGTTGCGTTCCAGTGGTCCATATATTCTTTCCGGATATTCTGACGCAGCTTCTGCACTTGCCAGAGCTGATATGCAGTGATACCGCCATTTTGAGGACGGAAGGATGCCGCTGTAGTATCTGCGTGGTCTAGTTCCATCGTTGCAATTATCGGCTCCCCTGTCACAGAGGTTGTGATCATATAGTCCTCGGCAGAACCGGCGTTCCAGATGTCCCGCTGCATGGTGTTAATTAGTCAATAGATTGGCGAAGTGAAAGACATATTTGCTTACCGTAACTTCTCCAAGCAATTTGTGCTTGATGGGTTTCCAGTCAACAACTGCCACTCAATGAGTACAACTCGGCAGGGGAATTAGACGAGAAAAACCTTTGTGCCCAGCCTTCTGGAGAGCCGCTTTGGTGATTTCCAGAGACCTCCTGATGGGTGGGTGGGGAACAACAACGCCATCATCCCACATGATCGCAAAGCACAAATCCTTGCCAGACCCATGGTCCGCGAGTTCGTACTCGTCTTCATCCCATTTCTTTCGAACCGCAAGAGGGTCCTTGAGCCATGGTTTGGAGTTAACGACAGCTTTCATGAAGACTTTGAGTCCGGATAGACTGTTTGTCATAGGACCGAATACGGAGAGGATCGAGTCTTGGCCCTCAAGTGAGTTGCGGGCACCACAGTACGGTACACGCCCGTATGACGGCCTCAAACCGTATATTCCGCAGAATGCAGAGGGAATACGAACGGAGCTGTCGGGAGGTTACTACCAGTGATACTTCCAAATTTTTGTCATACCCTCCGATATCAGAACCGACTCCCAATGGGCTTCCTTTGAGGGCAATCAATGCACCCTCTCCTCCTGATGACCCACCTGAGGTCAGGGAGACGTTGTGCGGGTTAGTTGTCCGGCCGAAGACGCTGTTGAAGGATTCTGGCCACTAAAATTACTTTGAGCATACGAGTAGGATTCATTTTCAGGGTGCGCGTACCATGAGTGTCTGTGGAATGTTAGTGCGGACAAATGGCACGGCTCCGCACTCGATCAGAACGTCGACCAACACTGCATTTTTCTCTGCATACTGCCCAATCCACGAGACATAACCTAAAACCCAGCGAATCACAATGCGTTAGGTCTAGACCGGGATTGTGACTTACCCATAGTGGTTTCTAGTCCTTTGATACATAGTTGGTCCTTTAGAGAGATTGGCAGCCCGTGAAGGGGACCAACAACCTTCCCGGTCTTCTTCAAGTAATCGTCAAGTTCAGCCGCTCGGGCCAATGCGGGATCAATAAAGATTTCCGTCAAGCAATTGACCTTGCCGGCCGGTTAATACCACATCATCGAGCAAATGCCTAGCAACTTGGCTTACAAGCTGATGAGCAACAATGGCCCTCTTGGAGAACGCGGTGGTGACGTCTACAGCTGTCCATTCTGCACTTGCAAGTCTCTTCAATAAGACATCCACCGAAGTATTGGTAATCTCAATTTCTCGAGCATTCAAAAGACCACAAGACTCTGGAAAACCAGTCACATCCAAGGTAGAAGGCGGAGGCGGAGTGACAAGCCATTCCTGTGGAATAGACTTGAGCTGCCTCTGTTTCTTCTCTGCGACCAAAGCAGTCCAATGCGGCATATGGATAGCGTTGGGGATGAAATCAATTAGATGAGAGAATGATGAAAAACTGAGACCTAAAAGAACACCTTAGAGTAGATAAGACATACGGGTATCGGATAAAGGATGTCCGTGGCTAATCTTAACAGCCAGATAAGACTGTCAGGATGATTGGCTTGAGGGTCATATGCGTGCACGAAAGAGAAGAATTTTGGTCATGTGAATTCATCATATAACTATGTGTACAGACAATCGATCAATACGTGTAGTCAAATAGTGGACGCCCGGCCTAAAAGAAGAATTGTCAGCTGGAAGCTCAAACCAAAACAAAATAAAAGAATCATGATCAGAAAGTCATTGATGTCAGTGAGACACGTCCGCCGTGTTACGGGCTCGCGTGCATCAAGTCGACTAAGAGGTGCCAGTGGTGGTTGATATACAACGCTCGTCATTGAATTGAAAATTTTATGTGAAAGTGTAAGAAACATGAAAAAATTACTCACCGCCAGCTGTACCGTACTGTCCCAGGCTGCAGGAAGGTTTAAAAATTGCAGTTGTATTTTCAGCACAATTTATCAAATGGGCTTTAGGCGGCGATTAAATATTATTCGGCAAGCAGTACCCGCCGCAACGAGCAGCGCGACAACACATACGGCGTCGAAGGCTAAATTTCATCAAGGTTCGTCCAATTTCTTGCAGTCAATGTGTCCATAGCCTGTTTGCGTGGTATCGCAGAAGATCGGAGCCGGCAATGGCATTGATGGGATGGATGACAATTCTGGGATTTGGATGATGACAGTGTCTTATCTATCCGTCTTTGCAGACATTCCCCCGTCTCCAATATGTCTGCTCAAATCAGCAAAAAGCGCAAGTTCGTAGCTGACGGTGTATTCCGTGCTGAACTCAACGAATTCTTCACTCGCGAACTCGCCGAGGAGGGTTACTCTGGATGTGATGTCCGTGTCACCCACGCCCGCACCGAGGTACGCTAGTGTGCGCTGAACAGCCTTGCCATCTTGCAAATGCATTACTTTCAGATTATCATCCGTGCCACACACACCCAGGAGGTCCTTGGTGAGAAGGGCCGTCGCATCAGGGAGTTGACCGCACTCGTCCAGAAGCGTTTCAAGTTCCCCGAAAACTCTCTTGAGCTTTACGCCGAGAAAGTGCAATACCGCGGTCTTTCCGCTATTGCTCAATGTGAGAGCTTGAGATACAAGCTCCTTGGTGGTCTTGCCGTCCGCAGGTCCGTGTTTCTATCAGTCACAATGCGTTGTTTTTGATCATGTCTCCAGGGCATGCTATGGTGTCCTTCGCTTCGTCATGGAATCTGGTGCAAAGGGTTGCGAGGTGGTTGTTTCCGGAAAGCTTCGTGCTGCTCGTGCCAAGTCGATGAAGTTCACCGATGGATTCATGATCCACTCCGGTCAACCCTCACGAGACTTCGTTGACTATGCCGTGAGACACGTTCTGCTTCGCCAGGGTGTCCTTGGTATCAAGGTTAAAATGTAAGCTGATCAATGTATTTGAGGACATATGGCTCATCATACAACAGCATGAAGGGCTATGACCCCGAAGGCCAATTGGGCCCTCGCAAGCCCCTTCCCGACTCTGTCCAGATTCTCGAGCCTCCTCTCGACAAGATTGTGTCGGAACCTTCCTCAGAGTCAAGAGAGCCTGCCGTTGTTTCCGCTCCACCCCCAGCTGCAGAGGAACCGGCTGTGTACGCACAGGAGCCAGCTTACCAGCAGGAGGCATATGGCGAGCAGCCTGCATTCTGATCTTGTCTTTGTTTATCTCTCATCCACAAAATATGTACTTGACCGTTGCAACGCATTAGGATTTGCATAGTACTGTAAGATCCCATCTGATGAACGATGTGCTACTTCCCTAATACGCGGGTCACGCTACTTCCTGCCGAACCGCTGCTAGGTAGTGTGAAATGTATAATAAGGGTGTTCTGAAGACTCCACCCTTTCGGTTTAACTCCATCTCCAGCGGTCATTTCTATAGTGAGTTCAGAGAGTGTCTGTGATGGATCCGAGACTGTCACAGTGCCAGATTCTACCCGATAGAGAATGGCGGCATTTGCACTGGCTGTGACGGTGATTGGTGCGCAGCCATCCAGCTGGAAGGTGAAGGAACCACCAGAGGGGCTCCAAAGTACTGCTGTTACCGTTCGATAGACTTTATCGAGCAACGCGCTAATACTTGCGCTATTCTCAATTTCTTGCAACCGGGTGGCCGCCCGCTTGAGCATGAAGGTACCGTAGTCAACCGCAGGATAAGATGTATAGGAGACGGGGGCGGATAGATTGTTATGATAGAGCCATGCGGCGAAGAGTTCGACCGTCTCGGGAGGCTGCGTGGAGCTTCCAATGTTTGACCAAGCACCAGTGCGGTTACCCCATTCAACGGAGAGTCCATATGTCCCATTGGCAGCTGGAAACTCATAACCAACTTGGCCATGCCACATGGTATGTGGATTTGTGTAGTTGCCACCAAAAGTCTCTGCTCCATTGACCCAAACACCACCTCCGAAGCGTCGTTGGTCAAGAACCGAAAACACGGGGGCTGCAGTGGCAGACGAAATGTTGGCAATCATGACATGTTGAACATCGGTCTCCAGGAAAAACCATGTCTTTTGCCAGGATATCGAACCACTCTCAGGGTTGGTGTAGCGCATTGCTGCGGCACCAATTTGACCATCCGAGACGCCACCGACAAAGGCTTCTTGACCAGTATATGAAGTATGGTTACAATCAAGTATTGTAGCGTTATAGTCGACGGTAATTCCAGGGATGAGGTTCCAGTCCCAGGCGGCAGCGATGTCTTCATATTCATTGCCTTGAAGGTAAGTGTAAACAGTGCCATCAGAGAGGTGGAAGCCCAAAGGCTGATATGTCGTTAGTGCTGCTTACATGGCGTAGGAGGCGACACCATACATTTTGAGAGTTGAGACACTCTGTGTTGACTGTCCTATTGGAGTACATTCTCACTGTGGTCACATAACCTGGACCGCGAGTTACCTAGGGGGGTGGGTCAACGGATGGGGCGGACGAAAAAAAAAAAAGAACTCACCATGTAGTCATTTGCGAAAAACATACGATTCCCGTGGAGCTCACCCACATTTGCATCGGTTGCGTTGGCAGATACGGTCAAAGAAAACTCAAGGAGAACAGTAGAGTTCCATTCCTCTCCGAGTTGCTGAACTTCTGAAATGTTCATATTGATGCTACCGGTAGCCCTAAAACAGCGTTAACAAGCACATAGCCAGCAAGCGTCATGATAGCCTCACTGCTCGTCAATCACAGGGAAACTGATGAAACGACCTAAGACGCTCTAGGCAGCGTCAGAAAACATTGAACCGCAGGAACCCTAACTCACAAAATCCCAATGCGATACCTGCAAAATAATTGATCATAGGTAATATGACAGTAAACCGTTGACAAACATTGGTCTGAACGTTACGGAAAATCATCCACCGATTTCCGTCGAATAGAGTTTCAAGTGCAGTTCTGGAAGTTGCGTTAGCGGCAAATTGCGTTTCTGCAGCCTCAATTTCCAAATCAAGAACGTCATTTGAGCTGGTGCGATTTAGATGGAGGCTTTCAAAGTACAGAGATGACATACAAGTCTTTCCCATAATTGCCGTTATAGATGATCCCAAGGTGTTGACCAAAAGATCCGTCGGGACGAATCTGTTTGACAACTGACTATTAGTTCGCCAACTTCAGGACAATGATGGGCTTACCCCATCAGATCCAACAGGCTGTTCGATAACCACAGTCTCATGGATCCTCGTGAAGGCATCTACGATCATGGAGATATTGACAACCAGAAGACCTTCATCGATGCCAATTTTCGCAATGTCTAATGCATTCGCACCAGTGATATAACCTATACCATTGACATAGTGGTCGAACGTGCCATATGCACGGAGGGTGATGTGAGTACAATTGCCAAGCTGAGTAGGTGTTAATGTGTTGTTCAGCAGGAGGCAGGATTGTGACACAAATTCAGGGATTAAGATAACCTAAACCAGGTGTCAGAAGAAATTGATACGATTAAAGAAATAGCTGCGATCCTACATTGGAGAACCAATTGGTGTTCCAAAATCCCGGCGTGCCACAAGGGCAGGTTGGAGTGCCTCCATAATCTAGACATGCAGGGTTGGTAAAATCATTAGCGAACCAATAGTCCATGGCAAGTGATATGGCGGCCAAGGTCTTGGAATCATTGACGTATTGCTGCCCCCCGCTGAGACCGCCATGCCAAGCAGCAGCCATGGTACCTGTCAAGAGCCAGTCAATGTGTCAATTCGTGGTCCAACGTAGATCCTCACTGATGCGTTGCCAGTGCAATTGAGCAGGCCAGTTGGACCTTTCTGCATCACATCCGGTAGTGTAATCCACTTCAGAACTAGGCCACCGACCATTGGCTCCCAGGTCTGCAATCCTGCAATACGATTGTAACCAGGTATTACATACAAAATAACGACTAACCAGGATGTGATATTCTCAGGGCTTAAAGTGATTCCCTCCGTAATTGTTACCAGCCTGCGCTGATGAATGGTGTTGATGTCCTGCGTGATGGTGGTGCCAGCAGCCAGTGTGGGAGATGATACGGGTGGTGTGCTAGTACTGGGCGCAACTGAGCTGTTGGAAGAGGACATAATAAGGGTTAAACATGTACGGTCAGCAACATATTTGTCTCAACCGTACCTCGGAACTCCACCATATCGACCTCTATTGTGGTGAGCGGCAGCAATGTTGATATGGTCTGGAGTGTGAAGGTCCGTCGCATAACTGCAGACCACACGAAACAGTAAAATCAAAAGAAACGTGAGCATGAACCCGACAATGCTACCCAGCTGCCAAAAAAATTCGAGTTGGTTGACTGAGTGGAGTTTGAGAAGAAAGTCCCCATTCTTTATATGGTCGGAGCCAGTGTAACGCGGAGACTAGAAGTAATCATCGGATCAAATGTTAGAATCGTGACGGCGCCGGCGCCAGCCCCGGACCCGCTTATTCCTGGGTCCCATCATATGCATATGGATTGGGAATTAGTCTTTTTTTTATGTTTCATTTTGCATTTGCAAATGAATGCATACTGCTGATAGATTAACCAGTACATAGATATACCTCACGTGTTGATCTGTGGTGTAACTAGATGAGTTCACCAAGGGCATGGGTAGCAACTTCCATTATGGATACAGCAATAGTGAACAACAATGGATAAGTATACATCTTGGATAGAGCACGGAAAGGAAAACTTCTATGTCCGTGTAAAGGTAATAAACTTGTTCATAATCACTTCGTAGCAAGAACGTGGAATTTAGCCAATGAAACAACGACAGGAATGGCAAAGAATGCATAAGCCACCCAAATCACTACCAGACTTGATTAGAACTGAACTTGAGAATCGAATGTACGGTCACTCACTCGTGAATGCGTTGCCAATAGTGGCAATCAGTTGGGGACCATTGCTTCCTTGACCCTGGATACTTTGATTGAAGTCATCGGCGGCCTTCCCAAACCACATAAAAATGATGAGAGTAGAACCGAGACCTAAAACCCCAGATCAGCGCCAGCAATGTGTACTTCGAAGTAGTTGCATACCAATCAAGAATGCAAAAATCCCAATCCATGCGGAGACTCGCTGCACCATGGGTTTTTCCCAAATAGCACCAGCTTTACCCATCAAGTGACGGAATGATATTGCCGTAAACATGACGAAGAAAATCACGGAGAATACAAGGGAGATTGCGATGAAGGTTGGTGCACCTGCAGGTGGGGCCGATATGACGGAGCTGGGGGTGTTAGATGTAAACACCGAAGTGTCTTGATTTCATGTGAGCATGACTGATATTAGCAATCAGATAGCTTTAACTTACTATAGATGGGAGATATGGAAGATGGCATACACGTCAGACCAGCTTCGTTGTTTGGTCGAGAGCACGATCCTAGAGGTCCAAGGAAAATGCTGGGACCATCCACTGCTTTGGTGGATCCGGGCTGCGTCAAGGCAGAGGAAGGTGTCACTGCAAGCAACGCGACTTGGCTATGTAACATAGCGGTCGGGGCAAGGTACGAAAACAACGAGAGTAGGAGTGCTGTGAGCATGAGCAAAGGGGTGAAGTACAGAACGGTGCCTTTTGAAATGTCGGCTAGCATGGTTGAAGCAGTTGTGTAAAAGTATTGAGTTGAAAAAATGAATGTAGCGAGAGCCTGCTCGAATGTCGCGGGACCGTGCGCGATAGAAACTAGGTGGACCGATGAGAGAAGGGGACTGGAACGTACTTTTCCATAGTTTGGAGATCGATCTTATGTACCGCAGCAGGGTATCATACGTCGGTTCGGTAGCCTGTAGGACAAAGTGCAAGAACAAAGAAATCGCGCTCAGTGCAACGCAATTATAAATTGTTGCCTAGGCATTTGCCTTTTGTTATGTGACTCGGATATATGATAGAGCGAGAAGAATGGAAGCATCGTCGAAAGGTCGAGACCGAATATCGTTCGCCATATGGAGAAATCATCCGGTCAGTCGATTCGTGCGTCTATCGAACAAATAATCACAAATAGATTGTCAGAAACTCAGAAATTTCACCGATCGTACAAGTTCAGTGCAGGCCTGGTCTGCTGGTGCATGCAATGGAAATCGAATCACAGGTCATTCTTCCGAGAGAGCTTGATGATCTCTCGTCTTTCATTCAAGAAAAGCCCGAATCATTGGCAACTGCCACTGCTGAGCTACAAGCCATAGCTCTCCGCGCAACCAAATTCATATTCGATCTTGGTGAGCAGACCAAACCCAATTCAATATATGTACATGATACACCTGGGCTGAGTAGTTCATAGCTTTGCGGTCGGAACCTGCCTCTCTGCCTCATATCGAGAACCTTCTGTCTTCACTCAAACAATCTCAAGCACCACAGACGAGATCACAGACTCGCGCTAATGCCAAACGGAAGAGGAGTCCAAGTCCTGTACTGGAATCTCCGAAGAAGGTCACTATAAAAAATACACCACTGCCCTCACTTTTTATCGAGGATATGAATGAAGATCAAATTTGGCAGCAGCTGGACCTTAGGGCTGCACCTCTTTGCAGTAATCTTCTGCTGCTAGAGGGCGAGACTGAAGATGACATGGAATTACCAGACGGGGTGTACGACGATCAGGAGGACGAGGAAGGTGACGAGATATCAGAAGAAAGCGATGATTCTGAAGAAATAGAACACACAGACGATTCTGAAGAAGACACTGGTGGGTCAGAAGAAATGACTGACCTTCGCGAGGAGCTGTCCGAAGACGAGGAGGACGATTCAGATCATCATCCATCTCTTCTTGACGTCGTCAAAGTAAAACCCTCTGTAAAACGTGCAGTCGCAAAGAGACCCAAATCAGACCTTGACGACGATTTCTTCAGTCTGGACGCATTCAATCGTGAAACGGAAGAGGCCGAAGCAACTGCTGTTTCCCGTGGTCAACTACGACGAGAATCGGATGACGACGACGACGACGAAGGTGACAGTATTGATCTCTTCAGGCCAGTAGATGACGTCTATGACTCTAATGACAATGCTTCGGAAGACGGCGCAGGTATGCAGTGTTGTACTCTTTTTGTCACGCGTAACTCACATAACACGCAGAACCGCTCTACAAAGATTTCTTCGATGTTCCCAGGGGCTCCGGCTCGAAAGCTATTACGAATACTTCTTCCTCGAAGTCGAAAGTGCGATTTAGTGAGCAGGTCAGAGTGAAGAGTATCAAGGCAAAGGGCAAGGGCCTACCGGTGGCTAGTTTGATGGAGGACGACGATTCCGACGACGAGAGCGGACTGGACATGTACTTAGAAGATCCGGACGAGGTCATGATGGACGCCGAGGTCGAAGAGTCATTTGTAGACGAGTATGAAGGTGGAGATGAAGATGAAGACGACGAAGGTCGTGCTACCATTGAAAGACTGAAGGACGACTTATTTGCGGAGGAAGATGAACCAGATTCCAGTAAGGCCAGTCTTATTCTTGTTGGTATCATTCATTCACAGCCTGGCTGCAGATATGACCACTTATGAAAAACGTATGGCAGCACTGCAAGCACAGATCAAGGAGCTCGAGGCGGAGAATGTTGCTAAGAAGGACTGGGTATTGATGGGGGAGGCCACGTCGAGATCTCGACCTCAAGATTCTTTGCTGCAAGAAGATTTAGAGTTTGAACGAACGATGAAAGCGGTGCCCGTCGTCACTGAAGCTGTGGTTCAAGGTCTGGAAGAGCGAATAAAAGCTCGCATAAAGGATGGCCAATTCGACGATGTCGTGCGGATTCGCGCTATCGACGATAAACCTTTCCTTCCGTCACGATTCTTTGAGCTCCAGGACACCAAGTCTTCCCAGTCACTTGCTCAAATCTACGAGGATGAGTACGTCGTCGCACAGAACGGCGGTACGGGAGGTGACGACAGAGATGGTCGGCTCAAGAAGGAGCACGACGAAATTACAAAACTTTGGGATAGCATATGCAGCAAGCTAGATGCACTTTGCAACGCGCATTACACTCCAAAAGCGGTACGTGTTTTGGACCCTACCATTATGTAGACATGACGCTGAAATTCCGACAGCCGAAAGCTACTATATCGACAGTCTCCAACGTTTCCGCAGCTACTTTAGAATCAGCACTTCCTACCAGCAAAACCGTGTCTTCTATGCTTGCTCCAGAAGAGGTTTTCAAAACAGCATCTTCTGATCCCCGCGCCCGTAGCGAACTTACACCCGCAGAAAAGCGAACACTACGTGCGAAAGAAAGAAAGGCAAGGAGGAAGACGCGAGATGCCCTTGACAAGAGCGTTCACAAGTATGCCAAAACGAAATCAGGGAAAACCTCCTCCAAAAAAACAAGTTAATTTTTGGTATGTTCATTGAAATCAGATAAGACTAGTTTTCCTAACCCCGGTCGCAGATTACCGGTCAATTTTCAAGGTGTTTTCTTTGAAATTCAACTGGATCCTATTTTGCTTCCGGGAGAGCCCCTTGAAGCAAAATAGACGAACATCGATTATTTTATTGGCATATTTGCACAGTACTACATACGCACGTATATACAAAAACAACTCATCAGATAGAAAGATAGAAAGATCATTCATTTCATTGTGCAATAGATCGGTACTTGTGGAGCCGACATGTTCTTCGAATAATAAGCAAGAAACATACCTGACTGTCAGAAATCACATCCAATGGCAAACTTGGATTTGCGTCTGGAGAAGAGAGGCCGCTAGCGGGACCTCCCGGGCCGGCAATTTATATTATTAGTTTACGGTTTGGTTACGGTTTGGTTAAGGCGGTAGTGACTTGTTCACCTGTGCAGCAGTGCTCGACCTCTGATTCCCTTCATCATCCGAGTCCATTAATATTGTCCTCGCATTTCAAGGAATGTCGTTCTTCAAGCGTAAGGAGAAAAATTTGATTCCTCCCGTCCAGTCAGCAGTTTCCGCATCATCAGACGGTTCGCGAGGTCCATCTCGAAGCACGTCTTCCCTCCCTAGTTACAAGTCCACCGCCAGTACCTACGTTGCCAGTCGCGATGGGCCTGATCCTTATAATGCCATGAGCACCAGGACTCAGTCACAGAATTCGTACGACAACTATGATACTTATAGTGCCACTGCGGGTAAAACTCCTGATGTCGAGGGAGATCGGAACCGCAATGAATTGTTCGCTGGATTCAAACCTCAGGGAAAGACAGGTTCTGGTCGATACTTCGATGGCCCCGCGCTAGGCAAAGAACCCTCTCCTGGGGAGGAGAATGATGAGGATGTAGAAGGCATCAAACAGCAAACCAGATTCATGAAGCAAGAGAGCGTCAACTCTACCAGGAATGCACTGAGGCTTGCTCGGGAAGCGGAAGAGACTGCGGGAAACACCATCGGAAAGCTCGGGGATCAATCTGGTAAGATCAGACTGAAGTCGTAGTTTTATTCTCATTGATCGTTTCGCGACAGAGAAACTCGCTAACACTGAGCGTCATCTTGATGTCTCAAAAGGTCACACCTTGCGCGCCGAAGATCAGATCGGTGAACTGAAGCAGCTCAATCGGTCGATCTTCCGCCCTGTCATTACTTGGAACAAGGATGCAAAACGCGCCGCTCAGGAAGATAAAATTCAGCAGCGGTATGAAGATGAAAGGCTAGATCGCGAGAAGGCTATGCAAGACATCAGAGATACTCAGAACCGCTTGGGACGTGCTACTACATATGGCCGTCAAGATGAAGAAAGTCTAACATCTGGAGGGTCAGGTAGATTCCGCACTGAGGAACAGCTGGCCACAAGAAAGGAGCAGCGGAAGAGATATCAGTTTGAGGCGGGTGCCTCTGATGACGAGATGGAAGATGAGTTGGACGACAACTTGAATGAGATATCGACTATCACCAAAAACCTGAAGGCGCTGGGTACTGCTATGGGACAGGAGCTCGATCAGCAAAACTCGAGACTTGTTACCATCGAACAAAAGACGACTACCTTGGACAACAACGTGTTCAGGAACACTGAAAGGGTGCGCTGCCATGTTTTCCACGTCACAATATCATTTGTCTGATTTCCGAACAATAGCTCAAACGCATCAAATAGAATGGCTCTTTCTGTTGGGAACAAGATGCTGTCTTTCACTGCTCTTCTGTATTTAATTCATGGACATTTTCGTAAATGCTGTAGCGGACCCTATACATACCTTGTACACGTTATATATTGAGACGCCACCAGGCTGACATTTACATAAAGCCTGAGGAGGGATTTTGATGCTCCGCCTCTTACGTCGTCTGACCTGCAGGCCTGTTCCTTGGCATAATATTCGGAACTTGCTTTGCGCATCTCTCATGCTGCGCAGCATCTTTCACTGGACTTCTTAGGACAATTGACGAAAAAAGGTAGTCAGCACTCCCAAAGCCAGCGCTATGGAAGAATGCGCGACCTTAAATGACCTTCAGAAATGGTGAGAGCCTGCGTCCTTCCACTTCTACTGTCACAGAGACCTATTTATGCTAATTTCGTGCCAAGGGAGCGCCTGGTCGAAGAACAGTCAAGTACGTGGCATTTTATTACATGGCAGAGAAGACTAATATCTCAAAAGGCCTCTTTCGTCTTACACTCACTGACAACCAAACGCTACGCATTCGGGTCGACGAACTGGAACGAGAACTATCGGTGTGGAAGCTGGCTTTCAAGGCTGCCGAAGATGAAAAATGCAATCTACAAAAACAAATGCTCAAGTTAGAGAAAAACATTGGCTCATTACGGGTTGGTCATCTAATATGCATTCTTCAATACTTGATGTCGTATGCAGGATGATAACCCGCTTCTCCTCTGCCTCATTGACGGCGATGGCAACATTTTCTCCCAAGACTTACTTGCGTCAGGCCATACAGGAGGCCGGCAAGCAGCTATGCTGCTAACCAAAGGGTTAACAGACTATATGGTCGATGTCGATGCTGGATCTTCCGGGCGTGGACAAGTTTGGCTGACTGTGTACTGCAATAAAACCGGCTTGATGGACACGCTGGTGAACAACGGTATATGCAGTGCTTCAGAATTTGAAGCATTTGTGCTGGGTTTCAACTCAGCTTCACCGTTATTCTCTATCGTGGATGTGGGTGGGGGAAAAGAAGCAGCAGATGCGAAGATTAAAGGTGATGTGATGATGTTTGTTTTCGTGTGATTTCTTCTAACTTCCTGGTAGAATGTCTTCGTGTTTTCACCCGCTTTCCCCAGACTTCACGTGTATTCTTCGGAGGTGAATTTTCAAAGCAAGTTCTTGTTCAGCTGATGCTGACGTGATTCCAAGGTGGGCACGATAATGGATACACTTCCACATTAAGTACCCTTGAAAACGAGGGCCTGCTGGAAAAAATTGTCTTACTCCGTGGATACAAGACTCTCGCCGCTGAGCTTCAACACTTCGATTTGCCACACCTCGATATTGGAGGTGTCTTCATGACAAAGAAACTTCCCTCGTCTTATACACACAGGAGGTCGACGCCTCCAGCAGGGTTCGCTCCCCAAGAACATGACAGACAGAAGATAAACCCCAAAAATTTCCTCGTTGGAACGCAGAGTCCAGTCATTTCTACGAACACATCCTTCTGCAGATATCTTGATCCTTCTCTGGTAGGACCTTGTTGCTTACACCATTCCGTGTTAATAACGATTGTTTGCTGTGACCAGCCACTCAACAAGCGTAGGTCGTTCATCGTTGTTCATCGGGCATGATGTCGATCTTTTTACAGAAACTCCACGACCTTGCACATTTTTCTATCTGTCCGTGTGCAAGCAAGGTGATAAGTGCACCTATGGCCACGATTACTTTCTTACAGCAGACAATTACGCCGAGCTTCGTGCCAATGCGAAGAAATCACCTTGCCCCGTCTTTAATAAGAGTGCGTCACGTGTGGTTGTTCTTCATGGATGACAATCTCAGTCTTCTGCACATCCAGATCAACCTTGTCCTTTCGGCGAAAGCTGCCCTTCTGGACACTACTGCCCCAGAGGGTCTAAATGTGGCTACAGGAAACAAGGCAAATGCAAATTCATCGGGAGTGAGCTCTTCGTGTCATTCATCAATTACGCTATTGACGCAATGTATGATATGTAGGGGAGATGCATATTCCGCTGAATGAACGCATAAGCATCAGTGGACGACCTCCATCTAGAGCCCAGAGCAGCAACGTCAGCGGGCAGACAGATGGAACTCCGACTCCTCCGATGAGCCCAGTTGACCTTAGCAATTTCGCCACCATATCACCCTTTGTGCCACAAGGCACTAGGTGATCCATATGTAGATTACTAGATCCCGCTACGCTGAATTGTAGTATGTCTATAAATCTAATACTATTACATGTCGCTTAGCTATAGCATGAAACGCGGTCACGTGGGGGACACGATTTTATTTCAAGTTGCAATGAGGGTATTCGCTTCCGCCCACTTTCACTGTTCAACTAACCACTAACCACTATGTCCTATGCAAAAGAGCGAGAGCAAAACATTGCACGCAACAAAGCTCTCCTTGATGGCCTGGGTATCAATCCCCTCAAACCCAAAATCGAACCGAAAGAGAACTTAAGGAAGAAAGTGGCAGTCAAGAAACGGAAGTCCCCCTCGCCCGAAAGCGACGAGCTCGAAGAACCGCCCAAGAAAGCTTCTCGTTTAGCAGATGATAGTAATGAACCAGGGCGCGCGCGAAGAAGCTCTCGTCTTGCTGGTAAAACAGTCGATTACAAGCAGGAACAAGACCGCGGGGTCCCGGAACCGATCACAATCAAACGGGCTCAAAAGGTCAAAGTTGGCCAGCTAAAATCAAAGAGAACATATGACCCGTCAGTAGCCCTGTTCCCTTTCTTCAAGCTAACTGTGTAATTTTGCGTAGTCATAGGTACGGTCACATACCCGATGTAGAGGTGGGGACATGGTGGGCAACAAGGTGAGGATGACTTGGTAATTTTTGCCACGAATATCGGCTCACTTGGTGTACTAGAGAAGATTGTTCAACCGCGTCTGTCCATGCGTAAGACTTTCCCCCCTCCTTTTCGAATGGGCACCCTCGATTTAATCAATCTTATAGCCCTTGGGTCTCGGGTATTGCATCAGGTCCAAATGGTGCATACTCGATCGCACTTTCAGGAGGATATGATGATGATGTAGACGAAGGATATGCATTGTGAGTCATGATATAAGCGTGCAAGAAACAACGACTCACAGCGATCCAGTACATTCACTGGTTCTGGTACGTGTGTTGTTGTAGAGCAATGGAGATGTCCTTACCTTTCTTAGGCGGTAGGGATTTGAAGGGAACAAAGACAGCACCCAAGAATGTAAGTATAACCACCAATTATTTTGATCAGGCTAATCTTTGAAAAGCTTCGAACGGCTCCTCAAAGCAGTGATCAGACTTTCGAGGATAGAAACAACGCAGCCCTCCAGGTAAATAGAGAAGGTGGCGCTTGATTAATACTTGATGCATTCTTTACAGAAATCTGTTGACACTCAGAAACCTGTCCGTGTGATCCGGGGCTTCAAAGGGAAGGCCAGATCAAAGTACGCGCCGTCAGAGGGGTCTGTTGCACTTATATTTCGCCAACTTCTTCGTTAATTGCAACTCTATTCATAGGTATCGCTATGATGGCCTGTATCTTGTCAAAAAAGTGTGTCGCTTGGTCGATAGCCACTGTTTCCTTATCACTAATGTCGTAGGCGTGGATTGAAAAAGGGCTCAATAAGGGGGGGTTCCTCGTATGCAAGTTTGCGTTCATCGTAAGTATTCTGCATTTCCGGTTATCAGTCCACACCTAATAGCGGTTCACACTAGCGAATGCCAGGACAAGAGGCTATCCCTGTGAACGACGGTGGTGATGATGAATTTGATGAATGAATATACCCCAACCATCTAATGACCGTATCGTGCTCACTTCTGATCTAGATAAACCATATTGTACTTACTACCTCCTGCATCATCTCCTAGTATTACATCAAGCATTTGCTGATGCTGAATTGATTAAAAAAAATAAAGTCGGTTCCTGAAATTTGAAACGCTATAGTGTGAGACTTTATATAGTCAAAAATGACTAGTCTTGAAATTTCAAGTTGACTCTCTTCCACCTTCATGTTTTCGTGTTTTGCGGTAATAAACTAAACATTCATTGATAAAATGCACTCCTTTCGTTACCTGTCTGTCACTTTGTGTGCTCTTTCATTTTTATCCTCCCAAGTAATCGGCTTTAGCGGGGTCCAGTCGTCCGTACATGACCGCTCGCGCAGGTTGGCGCACGTACGCGCCCTAAGTGGTTCCGACCAGCCCCGGGCTTTCGATATCTCTGTCAATCAGTCAAGAGATACGAAAATATCAAAGAGAGATACATTTACTTATTTTCAAGATGGCAAGTGAGTAAGACCTGCAACCCATCAAAGACCCTCACTAATTGCACAACCAGTGGTGCCTGTGGAGGTTTCAATGGTCCTAACGACTATGTATGTCCTCTATCCTCTGGTTACTGCTGATCATCGCTTGACATTCACTCAGATCGTTGCGCAGAGCTCATGTGTAAGTTCCACCGTTTTCTGACTGCATAACCTGAAACTTAAATACAACGAAGGATTTTGCTGGAGGTAGCCATTGCTTCCAAATGATAACTATCACCGTGAATGGCAAGTCGGCGCCGGCCCAGATTGTGGACGAGGTATTTTTTTTGCCAATTACTGCTTTGCGGAGCATTTAAATGACACAATTCTACAGTGCCTTGGATGTCCTTGCGGGGGACTGGACTTTAGTCAGGGTCTTTTTGAGTTCTTCGCACCAACCAGCGTTGGAGAATTGTCTGGATCGTGGAGTTATGGCAATAGTGCTTCTACCTCGTCCACGCTTCTGCCGTCCACGACGACCCAACAGTCTTCCACTAGTACTTGGACGCCACCTACTACCACCTCATCAAGTACTCCCACTCCCACATCCACCCTCACAACTACGAGCACCCTCATAGCCACAACCACACCTATGACTTCAGTTCCCCTACCGACTACAACTTCATCCACTGCATCTCCCCTCCCTACTTTTAGCTCCGACAATCCTCAAATCCTTGCACAAATTAATCTTGGGCTGATTGAGTTTGGTTCACTGCTCCAAGCTTGTGCAGCATTGTCTTCGGAATAATAGATATTTATGCCCTTCTTGAAACGCTCGCCTTTGAATACGCACCACGTTCTTGTATAAATCTTTTTACCACTTATAGGTGTGATCTAGAGGTAGTGCAATGATGTACATCATGTACCCGTCAATAACGCGTGTAAACATGTAGCTCAAGAATACTAAACCAACAATCATGGACATGGCTGAGTTACCGCCGCTTGGACGATGCGTAGGAATGCGTCACTGCTCTCTTCGTCTGGTTGGTTCAACTTCCTCGCCTTCCACAGGTAGTATATGCCCTTTATACTTTCAGTCACTGCCTTGTCCTCTTCAACAGAAAATTCGTCGTCCTCTTCGTCTGCGTGTCCGTTCCCTGCATGCCGCCCGTTAGAATATGACATGTCATTTAACGTGATTTTCACGGGTTGAGTAACGTGGGCATATTGACCGGGATTCCCAGACACGGGGGTCTCAAGGTCCGAATGATCCAAAGTTGAGGGTGGTGACGGGCTTTCACGGTCGAAAGTTGACGATGGTTCGTTTGACGTGTGTGTGTGTATGTCTTTGCGTGGGGAGATAATATTAAGGAGATGTGCCAATACAGTAGCCGATGGCGGCCCAAACTTACTGTCGGGCAGCGGCAAAGAATGTATAGTATCAGCTGGTATGGGTATAGCTTCTTCTTGCTGTGTATAATACGTCGGAAGCACAGTTTCTAGTTTCCGGTGGTTCGGTAGGGGCGAGGGCACCGTGGAATCAGCAGATCCTAGGATAGGAAAGATGTCAGGCAAGGTAAAAATACCAAGCTTGGAAAGAAAGAAACACCACCTTGTACTGATGAATACCGTGCCCAATAAGCATCTTCTGTTCCATCGGCCGAACCTTCCTTAAATATACTGCGAGGTGCTAAAGCGGAAAATGATTCATGGAGCGGGGGATTGTATGCGTTCCAATAGCGATCTTCATCATCTAGAAAACCACGAGCCACTGAGGGGAAACGTTCACGCGCCTGTTCCGCCGCAGTTGTTGGTGGATGTAACGCAGAGCGTGAAGTGGGTGGGAAAGGCATCAGCTGAGTGTCATGATACTTCCATCCGTCTTCGTCATCCCACTCAAAGAGGAGGCGGACACCCTGCTCATGAGATACGACCTGAACATGAGCATAAGTGTGCTCTGAATCTGAGGTGTACCGAACGTAATATTGGCCTGGCTGATCTCCGGGGGATGAGAAGATGTTGAGAAGCTCAATAGCTCGGGCACTTTGAGAAGCAGGCCAGCATAGATAGTCTAGAGGATTATCAGGTGAGATCTGAAGGAAATGATGTCGCTGAAGCAATGATCTAGACAATAAATGAGGTGGCAGGGGTTGAGTTAACTCAGAGGGGGGTGATATGTATTGCAAAACGAGGTGTACGGTATGCGATTGAATTGGGAACATAATCGATGGTCAATCAATGAATCGATGTTGGTCGATGGTAAGATGGAAATCACATTTTTTTGTTTTTGATCTCATTATAACAAGGGACATAAGAAACGACCCCCCTCGACCCCCCTTCTCACCCAAGTACTGCCTGTTAGACAGTGTCCTGTGTTACTCACAGTCTCTTTCTCTCACCCGCAACCATCGTCGCTCTCGTCCTTCAGCGATGTATCTACTTTCTTTTCTTCTGGCTTTACCTTTGCTCTCACTTGCCCAGGTTCGTAGTTACTTCTCGTTTTCCTGTCAAGCTCACCCCAGCGTCAGTCATCGCAGAGTGTTCAGCTCTCAACTTCCACCACAGTGGAAGAGACTCTCGGCTCGAATCGCCAAACTAGCACAGTAACACAGATCACAGTTTTCACTATCACTCCCGCTCCCACAGCGTCCGGCACAGTTTCTGCCTCTGGCAACTCTTCTTCAGCAATAACTAGCGGCACCAACAACGGGACCACCACATCAATCGCCTCTAGCAATTTACCCACTGCAGCGTCTACCATTGCTGGAGCAGATGGCGGTCCCAACGGTGCCCCAAGTCCAGGAGCATCAGCGTCAGGTGGAATATACGGCCCTCCAGATGGCTATATTGCAGGCGCACAAGCTTTGCGCAGTACAAACATTCTCGGAGCTGTCGTCTTTCTCGCCGGAGGAGCATTGGTTTTGCTTTAGAGGATAAAACGGTTTCAAAACTGCACGCTGTTCGTATGTTTATATATCCGCATGACGTGACCCTGGCACACTGCCAAACATACTCAAGATATTTCATCTAGCTCTCTTCAAGCTCTCTTTATTGAACATGGACAAACCAGTTTGCTTTTAGGGTTTGCTAATGGAACTGTACTTTTGCATATATCGCATATATCCTCGCATGCCTACCGTTCATTGACACTTTATTATATCTGGACTGTCTTGGACCGAGTACAGTACTAGCATACTGTAATGAGACCTGGTCTTTTGACTAATTCTAGACGGGACGATTATATGGTGCCGAAATCGAGTTACGTATCAGTATGCAGTATCTCAGTATGCTCTCTGCTCACTGAGTAATAAGAATTCGAGATTTCGACGAGCGCTTGATTTTGCGTAAGCATGTCAATATTAATCGAATCATTGGATTTCGGATAACCGATCTGAGTGTTCTTCACTCGCACCTACTGTCCATCTCAAAGAGACACTTTTATGACCTTGGTAAACAAGGTCATCCCTAGCGTACGTTCGTCGACCATTACTTTGGCCTACCTATTTCGCCTGGATCGCAAGCTGAGTAGCAGGACAGTTATTATATCACAAACAGGGCCCGCTACCAAAAAGCAGAGAATGGATATCAAGGTTCGTTCGATCACTTGCATGATGTATCCTCATCTCTAGCGCCTGGATAGACCATAGGTACTCATAATGGCACCTTCCATTGCGATGAAGCACTGGCAGTCTTTCTTTTGCGTCAGACGGACGCCTACAAAGATGCAAGTGAGTGTATCAGGTTTTTCATCAGTGCTCACCTTCATAAGTGATTATCAAGGTCTAAAACGTACAAGGGACCCAGCTGTCCTCGATGGTTGCGACATAGTAGTTGATGTGGGAGCTATATACGATGAAAGCAAACGCCGATTCGATCACCATCAACGTGGTTTTACGGAGGTGTTCGGTCATGGCTTTGGCACTAAACTGTCATCTGCAGGTCTCATCTACAAGTATGGAACTTTCAGATTCTTCTTGAGGTGCCTAACACCTTCATAAAGGCATTTTGGAAAGGAAGTCGTTGCCAGTGCGGCAGGGCTGGAACCGAGCGACAAGAAAGTTGACACACTATGGTTAAAAATGTACAAGGTATGCAGTCGCTCAGGGAGAAACACATCTTTCCAACTATCTGCAGGAGTTTATTGAGGCTCTGGATGCAATTGACAATGGGATTTCGCAATACTCTTCCCAAGAACAACCGAAATACCGCAACCGCACCGATCTATCGAGTAGAGTTGGATGGCTTAATCCTTGTTGGAATGAGTCTACAGAGTCTGAGAAAGTGGATGTGAGTGCCTGCGTCTTTACTTGTGACACACCTCGCTGAACTGTCTAGGCCCTGTTCTTGAAAGCTTCGCAGCTGGCTGGGGGTGAGTTCCTCGGCAGGCTTGACTACTATGCCAATGCGTGGTTGCCTGCACGAAATTTGGTATTGGCTGGGCTCTCATCGCGCCAGAATATCGATGCCAGCGGAAAGATCATATTATTTGAGCAATTTGCTCCATGGAAGGTTATATTGTTGTCGATCACGACCTTTCACTAGATTCTGACATCTGACAGGAGCATTTGTTTGAACTTGAGGCTGAACAGGGTGTCTCCGAAGATGAACTTCCATTTTATGTGATATACCCTGACGAGACTGGGGGAAACTGGCGTATTCAGGCGGTCCCTGTCTCTCCTGAGAGCTTTGACAGTCGAAAGGCGCTTCCGGAGAAGTGGAGAGGCGTGCGTGATGATGAGCTGTCAAAAGTAAGCGGTGTCGACGGATGCATATTCGTGCACGCATCAGGGTTTATTGGAGGTAGGTGAAGCATCAGTGGTGCAGCTGCATCGGAGCTGATCTCTGGTATCTGTTTCAGGGAACAAGACGAAAGAAGGCGCTTTGAACCTAGCAAAATTGGCACTTAAGATGTAATCGATCTCGCTTTCAAGGAATCTCCACGATCTCGGTAGTCCATTTTTATATGTCCCGCGAGTTTAAATTGCCGTTATACAAGGTAGCTGATATGTAGACCAGATGAAATGTTCTTTGGTGAAAAGAGCGGAGACCATTTAGTGTTCGAAACAGCGTCCGATCTACGTAATTAGAGTTGCCGTCGGCGTGTCGGTGAGATTTCTTTCCGTGTTACAATTAACTTGCTGCAGACACGTTTTCAACCAGAGCCTACCCGAATAAGATGTGTGGTATTTGAACACATCCGGCAATACTCGCCCTCGTGTTCTTCGCATGTCTCGCAGCTGCGTGGGGGCCACGAATGGAACGCGCGCAAAGGTTCAGGGTGGTCACTATTAGTTTGGTCTGCCCTTCTCACTTCCAACCCGTATTTTGCTATCTAGAAGCTTTGACTCTCTTTTTTTTTTTCTTTGACACCGTTGAACGATGCCTTACATCAAAGCCCATTACCACCCTTTCCTTTTCATCCTCATCACTATGTGTGCTATGGCTGAGCTGGGTCTCACTGCATACCTTATCAGCGTTGGAAATGAGAGTCGTAATTGGCCTAGCGCTCGTTATCATTCACTGTAAGTCTGCTTTCTACCTCGAAAGGGAGTCCTGCTAACGTAGGATGCATTCAGCTTAATACTTTTCGAATTCAACGCCGTGTGGACCACGTTATTCGGGGCAGCTTATATGCTGTGGATTGTTGATGGTGCTGTGCACTTTCTTGCCAGCATAGCAAGTTCCATCATCTGGCTTGCTATCACTTCGGCACTTTGGGTAAGACATCTTATGGTATAAAACACCCACAGTTTAATCCGGGTGGACAGGGCGCTGCAGCTGGCATGATGCATAACACGCGGACTGGGGGCAACTGTAATTGGATACTCAATAGCTCCCCGTCTGTTAACGGGGTCTTGCCATGCGATTCGCCGCAGGAGCTGAGTGTATCCAGCTGTCGAGAAACGCTAACAGTCGAAGCAGTCGGCTGGGTACTATTTGTACTCTGCGTCCTCACACTCTTTGCGACATGCATGTGGGTACGAACGAGCAAGCGAGGATATGTGAGTGCAGAGTATAAGCCGGGGATGTGACAGGTTGATGATCGGTGCCGTCCTTACCAGAACTCGAGCTTTTATGTCTAGGAGATTGGTTGTAAAGCAGGAAGTGGATTTTGGAGGTAGCTCGAAATAGTGTGCGGTGTGGTGTTAATTGGGATTTATGCCCGGGCTACTAATGCGTCTGGTATGCTCATAAGTTATCGAGTCAGTCTAAGCGATTGATAAAATTTTCGGTTACGTTAAAGTACATCCACGGATAAGCTATGCGTTGGCCCATGGAGCTCATAGACTACAAACAACAATCCAGGTCCTTTGGTCTGATCGAGACGTGTGGGCTAACTTCAGAATCATACGTGCTGAGACTGATACTTGCAGAGGGAACGTGGAGTCAGAGTTAAGGTTACGTCATCCAAGTTTATCAGATAAGAGCGTCGGCAATCTAACGTACAACTTTCACAAAATGACCCAGCGACCTCAAAGCAGAGAACTTTACATCTCGATTCCAAGTCGTAGCTACACAGAACCACATATAAACTCTACCTCAACCAGGCAGCGTGATGAGGAACTTGTAGAGAGGGGGGATGCTATCTCTTCAACGAGGGCGTCCATTGTTCGGATGTTGGCTTTACTGTGCGCATGTTCTCTCAGCGTCGGTAGTCACTAGTGCGTTTTCTTCCATTCTTCCATTCCCTCTACCATTTACTGTTCCCCATTTAACAGCGCATCATATACACTAGGGCCACTGAAATCTCGACTTGCGCGAGAGATTAACACATCCAACACGGAATTTAGTCTGTTGATTTCTGCATTCAGTTTAAACAGTACATGGACACCTCTAGTCGGGGGCCTGATGGCGAGTAAACTTGGTACAACGCTCACTAGTATCATTGCTACTGGTGTCATATTTGTTGGTAAGTAGTATTTTTTCATGCTACACACTTTCTCATCCCTTTCTAGGCCAGGTTTTACTACTGGTTGGCGACATAAAAGGAGATGTTCGGTTGATGGTATTTGGGCTGTTCGTGTTCGGATTTGGAGTCAGTCCTCTTGCTGTTGTGCAGGAGTCCATTATCGTGCGATTCTTCAAATCACACGGGCTCGGTGTCTCAATGGCACTGGGTCTTGTAGCCGGCAAATTGGCGTCATTTATTTCAGCGCGAACTTCCCTCCCTCTTGCGGAGCGTTTTGGGCGTCACGCACCGTTCTACGCGTCCACATTCCTAGCTGCTCTTTCCCTTCTCATCAACCTGGTCTACATGGCATCCTCGAAGTGGCTTATACGGGGTTCTGGCACCGTCTTACTAGAGGCTTCCGAGATACGAAGTGAGGCGAGGCGCCGCTCCCTGTACGATCTCTCCGAGGCGCAGGCACTGGAAAAAGTTGCAAAAAAACGCCACATCAGGTTCAAAGATATTCCAAAGCTTGGAGATATCTTCTGGGCGTGCGTAACAAAACTAGAACCCACGACTTGTGCTGACCTTTCGCAGTTATATAGGGCTAAACATCCTCTGTGGCACTATATGGGCCCCTTTCACCCATTTGGCAGCGTGAGTCTGCATACTATCAGGATATCTTTCGTGACTCATGACGTTCTTTGTGCGACCTTTAGCAACATTTTTGAAAAGAGATATGGATTGACGGAGCACACTGCCAGTACACAAGCTTCCTACCTTCTGGTTGGGAGCATACTCTTGTATCCCGTCGTAAGTGCATTCATATTGCTCTATAATCTTGACCAACACCAAGTCAGACCGGATTCATGGTAGATCGGATGAAGCACCCACAAGCTGTACTTCGCATGTTCACGCTGTCATCTGTATTGACGTTGTTTGGATATGCATGGCTTGTTCTTCCACCAGCGTGGACGGGAACACCTTCCCCTGCAGTTGCCGCCTTTGCGATTGGCATTGGCTTCTCCCCTTGTGAGTCAGTATTGCAATATTTAATCAGCATTCATTCGACATGTTTTAGTACTCCTTGTGGTCTTGGTTCCTCAGCTGGTCCCGTTCAAGTTTGTATCAACTACTCTCGGCGTGCACAAAAGTGTAAATCGTTTATTCAGTCCAGTGTCCTTATCTGAGCTATGAGCTTGATGTTTCAGATGGAACAAACAGGCGCGACAATTTTCCAAACGATAGCTGGCCTTGTTTTGGACGGTGATCAACGAGTCAAAAAAGGCGGTCAGTACACAACTCAGCAGTTGTTGAACGTGTTTTTCGCTTTCAATGTTTTGCAACTACTGGGCATCATCGGTCTATCGCATCTTGATAGTCGGCGGAGGCAGGCAGCAGAGACTATTGAGAACACAGTCGGGGATGAAGAACGTGAATCAGAAGAGTCGACCTTCACCGGGGGCGAAGGAGATATCCTGGCTTCAGAAATCGGACCGTTGTGTTCTCAAGATCCAAGAAAGCCTCTACTTGGTCGCCGGCACAGAGCAGATTCCGGGGCCAGTTGTTTCCCTTCTTCTTGTCCTCCTCAAGGGGTTTGTGGACACTCAGAGATAAGGAGGGGTCGTATTTTTGTGTGTCTTTGCGCTATGATTATTGGCAGCGCTTGGATACTGTTTTTGAGCACTGCGTGGCTGAGGCTCCGCTCGGGACAAGAAAGAGATTTATAATAGTCCACGTGGCTAGTGTTTAGATACTTTGTTATCAGGAGTACGATTCTTCCAGCGTCATGAGCCACTATCTACGCGCACTCATTAACCAGTGTCCACAAGGCACCCCGACAGTTTCATCCGAGGTGTCTGATGTCGCAGAGTCATCAAGAAGATCAGGGAGTAGTGTGACGGTCGTTGCGAAAGTTGGAGATGGGAAACTCTCATTTTCGGTACGCTTGGCGGGTAATTTTTTCCTCCACGACTCTATCATTTCCCAGGTGAGGGTCGGATCCTTCGACTTTTTATAGAGAACATCTGGACCGTATGGATCCTCCACTCCCCTATCTGAAACATCAAGCGCTACCGCGCCTGCAGCTCCAGCCGAGGACGCCGGTTCTGCTCAATATGTCAGTCCAACCGATGACGACACAAAGTATCATATATCTCACCATCACTCGTGCCGCTCCAATTCGATAAGGAGGGAGCGATTTCCAGCACTTTTTCCGGTTTAGCGATCGGTAGCTCGGATTCATCGTCTGAGAGGATATTGTGAATAGGTTCCGCGACCTGTTAAATGGTTTAGCTCGGTCATTTTTAATGATGATATTCAATGCCAACCTCCACCGGTTGTACAAAACCACCAGGGGCACGGAGAGCCGAGCTGAGCCAATATAGCAACGCATGCATAACGGTCGGAGAACGTGATTGTGCGTCTATAACGGGGGAAACGAACGCTGTCGTCCAACCTGTAAAGTTATGAAAATTTTTCTTTCCCTGATTTAGCTTGAGGGAAGATCTTACCGCGTGAAAACATACCAAAAGCCCACTGCTGGTATGAAGTCAGAATGAAGAAGGGGGTTTGATTATGAGCGCAGGTGTCCCATAACTGAAGGATCGCTTCAGAGTCTGGGAAATGTGCAATATGTACACTTACCTTCCCCCAAAGGCGCTCCTTTCCACGTAATGGGCGCTTAGTACCTTCAGGAAGCTACCAAATATGTTCCGTATTCACGGCTCAAGGGTTCTAAGTACGTACCGATCTGAGCTGAGTGAATTGCCGCATGAATTCGTCGGTCATTATCCAAGGAGGTTGGCAGGCGACAACTACAGACAAATCATGTATATCAGGGTGATCTTGGTTGACATCCGTCCAGTGAAATGTCTTGAAATTTTCGTCATCGCAGCCGTGATCATCAAGCATCGCAAAGCCCCAATCTTTCGTTGCAGGAAACATGATATGAAAAACTCGTTGAACTGTTTGGAGGGGGAAATTGTCCAACCAATCACACACTCTGATGATAACAAGGTTAAATAACCTCGTGTTTCAGATAATTATTTACATACCGATTGATATCCGAGGCTGCAGGAAGCAACAGTTCCGGAACATTGAATCTATGCGAAGAGCGTACTGTAAACCGTTCGCCTGTTTTGCGGTCCTCATCGTACAGACAGAGCGAGCGATTTGGCACATGCTCCTCGATCCCTGCAGATAGTACATTAGCTCGCGAAGCTTGGTGTCAACAGCAAACATACAATTATTAACAAGTTCATCAAACGTGGAATCCAGGAAAACTATGTTAGCAAGGTTGCGACGTCGTCGGCGAACAGTAAGTGTGATTCTACGGCTCTTGTGCCCTTGGTGAGACATCAACTCTCGTTTGTGCATGAGCTTCAGCCGGGGTAGAACAGCGTCCTTAAGGTAGCCTTGCAAGTCGTCTGTAGCTCTGTAAGCCATATTGACCTCACAGCGAATATACGTGGGGGGAATGTTGGTATTGCTCCTTGAGGATAGCAAACATTATATATATATAACCTCGATACGGGTTGGAGTAATACAACAATATTAACAACAACAAGATGCACATGAGGAAACAAGGAATTGCATGGGTCGCTAAGTACGATGCCTAAATGAGGCAGGCTGCTGGCATAATCCGATGCACAACGGCAATAGCCGAGAACCCTCCTCCAGTCGTCAAACAAGACGTTGTAGTCGTACCCGAGTCAAGACCCTCAAGAGGTATGTTTCCGTATCGTTATCGTATGCAGCTATGCTAGAAAGGGTCTACGTTGCTGTCAGAAACTCTAGTTTGGAGAAATCTAAATGGAAATCGATGGATGCTTTCGTCTTGATTGGATGTATGTTGATCTGCCGAGTCACTAACCATCTTGCATTGCAGCCTGCAACATGGGCGCATACAAATACATCAGCGAGTTGTACAGAAAAAAGCAGTCTGACGTGCTGCGTTTTCTTCTCCGTGTTCGGTGAGTCCTGATGCTTGTGATATACTAACGATGAAAGTTGCTGATCTCGTACTCTAGATGCTGGGAGTACCGCCAATTGAAAGTCGTTCATCGTGCATCTCGTCCTTCTCGTCCTGACAAGGCTCGTCGGTTGGGATACAAGGCCAAGCAGGGCTACGTTATCTACCGTATTCGTGTCCGTCGCGGTAACCGCAAAAAGCCAGTTCCAAAGGGTAGGCTCCTGACCGACGTGCCTTTCGATATAATCTGAATTTATCTTTTAGGTGCCACCAATGGCAAGCCCGTCCGTCAGGGTGTCAACCACTTGAAGCCCCAGCGCAGTCTCAGGAGTACCGCCGAGGAACGTGTTGGAAGGCGTTGTGGAAACCTGCGAGTTCTGAACTCATACTGGGTAAACCAGGACGGCGTTTACAAGTATTTCGAAGTCATTCTTGTGGATCCTAACCACAAAGCTGTAAGCCCGAGGTTTCCTCTGTTTGTTATGTTTACGAGGACGCATTATGGTGTAGATTCGCCGGGATCCCCGTATCAACTGGATTACCAAGCCAGTGCACAAACGCCGCGAAGCTCGTGGTCTCACCAGCGTTGGGAAACAGGTTTGTTCATTATCCATGGCCCTCAGGATTTTTCTGATATTTTGTTGCAGAACAGGGGATTGGGCAAGGGCCATCGTCACAACCACGCTCCTGCTCGTTCAACCTGGAAGAAGCACAACACACTGTCTCTTCGTCGTTACCGATGATTTACTTGCATATTTTCTGTTGTTCTTCCATTATGTTACTTCATACTTGCTATGCTTTGTATGACCATGAAGTTTCACCAAAAAGATATCATGTGCTCCTACATTTTGTAAAGGAACTTTTAGGTTGTGAGCTCCATAATAAGCACAGCAATGGCAAACCGGCATCTCACCAATTCTCACGGAATGTCAGACGGTCATCCATGCGTTTATCGTGATTGCGGAACAATTTTTTTAGTCACATTCGCCTCGTGCCCACCATGAGAGCCAACTGCGGTAATTCATTTCGGCCGTCAGCGCTTCAGCATCTACAAATTTATTAGAGCTACGCTAATGGCAACTTCCAATGTTATTGTGTTCGGACGGTCTAGTCACCGCACCATAAATCCCAGTTCATTTTCTTTGGATTATATTCCTCCTTCCGAACATGCTCAAACTTCAACATGCAATTATTTGCCTATTATGCGGATATCTTTCTGAGACCATGGCCTTTCCAAGCATTCTCAGTGACATTGATTGGAAGGCCGGAGTTGAGTTACTGGGCAACTTTGAATGGCCAAAGACCACATTACCGACGAAGAGAGAAACCGCGCCCAATGGATCTACTATACTGTGGATTATTCAAGATACCTACGAGGGCAGTACTTTTTTCGAGTAAGTGTGTCGTCCAGATCACCCAATCGCTACTGGTAACTGATGGGCTGCAGTACATTTAACTTCTACACTGGTGCAGATCCCACAAAGTAATGTTTGCTTTTCCATCCAATTTTCGGGGTACTTAACACTCAGTGATAATTGTTTAGTGGTTTGGTGACGTGCGTGTCTATTCGTTGCACGGGATTCTTTCATTCTTACAATTTGAAATAGTTTTGTTGACCAACAAGCGGCATTCAACGACGGCTTAGCATCAATAACCTCCGACAACAAGGTCATCATGCGGGGCGATAATACAACTAAGCTAGCATATGGGGTCAACAGAAACAGGTAAATAAACTCCAGTGCGCTGAGTGCACCGAGATTAATTTAACCTCTTAGTGTCCGCATAGCAAGTCAGGCTGAGTACAATATGGGTCTCTTTATACTGGATCTAGACATGGCTCCATGGGGTTGCGGTGGGACAGCTTTCTTTCAGTGTACTGATGTCATTTAATTATTTTGATCAAGGTGTTTGGCCTGCATTCTGGCAAGTAATACCACGCAAAGGTTGGATGATGAGTCTGACGATGTGGCTAGGACGCTTGGGAGTGGGACATGGCCATATGTAAGCTTGAAATACCTTGCATTTTCACTCAATAATCTCTATTAAAGAACGGTGAAATAGACATCATCGAGGGTGTACACGACAACGAACACAACCAAGTCACCTGGCATACCGCTCCCGGTAAGCGAATTACTAGCTACTTGTTCCGTAACTCACGTAATTCTCAGGTTGCAACTTAACCCAGAATACCAACTTCACTGGGACGATTGTGGTGTGTCTTATCTTAGCATGAACGAGAGGTGGTGGGCTAATTGTTAAAGCAAACGAACGACACGGATAACCTTCAATGCAATGCGTTCATCAATAACAACGCAGGGTGTGGTGTGACAGAATGGAGTCAGGCTTCATATGGCCCATTATTCGATGAAGCTAATGGCGGCGTCTTTGCTATGAATTGGGACGAAAACGGCATCGCAGTTTGTAAGTTCGTGAACCTCGTAGCACCGTGAGACTCTAGACTGTTTCACCCCACAGGGTCATTTTACCGGGCAACTGTTCCACTGGACATTACACAGGGACGACCAGATCCATCTAATTGGGGTGAACCTGTTGCTGCACTGTCCACCCAGTCGTGTAATATCACTAACTACTTCGCAAATCACTCGATTGTATTTGGTGAGTATTTTGATGAAATTCAGATCCTCATTGCTCACCAACAATGCAGACATCACGTTTTGTGGTGAGACTTCATTACTGAGGTGCATTTTGAAGCAATTTATCAAGACTAACCAGGTGACTGGGCCGGCAACTCTTACGCTACATCGAATTGTCCTGGCACCTGCGAGGACATACTGATGGATCCGGCTAATTTTGTTGTGAGATTCTATTGATTTCTTGCATTAATTTATCTCAACTGATCCCATAGAACGCCTCTTGGATCATCAACTCACTCAGTGTCTACAAGCAGTCTTGGTTGGACATTAGCAACGCGTCGAGCGCAATCCGAACACATCCAATCATGAACTTGAAGACTGGTTGGATTATCTCTACAGTAATATTCTTACACGTGCTTGTCTCGCTTTGAGATGCTGGCTGTCCAAGCAAAGGCATGGGAAACTATTATATCACGAGCTACTGTGGACGATCAGAGGAACACACTAGTGACACCACGAGGGCATGTCAATAGATCTTGCACCCTTAACATTTGCCTTAGAATTCGCTTGCATTGGTCATATGAGTGATATCAAAGGGCTACAGTACTCTAAAGTTTCAAGATCCTCAGAGATTCTGGCCCTATTGCCGCAGGGTCATGATCTACATGTGCAAAACATGCCCGTAGTGGAGTAACGCTCGCGTGGCCTTTAGCGATGGCCCAGCCATCCGAGCCAACTGGGAGGGAACCGAGCGAAGGTGTGATAAGGGGTTGGATATCAGGGGAGAATTTAAACACTAGCGTTGCAGGTTCATCTCTCGATACATCGCCTTCTACATCGCCTCCAGGTTCACTTTGTTGTGCAGGATACTGTCTCACCACGTCCTGGCCCTTGTTGGGGACGTCCCTCGTTGTGCTCGTAGCTCCAGGAGTCAATATTGCTTTAAAAAGTCGCCCGTATGAGTTACGCCACATGTGCGTCCAATGGACATCTATGCCCTCGGGGTTAAGCAGCTCCATTATCATGGGGACATTCACGTTATACATGTCGATTTCTCCGTTGCGCATTCCACCAACGTCTTTACCCCAATTGTTCCATAGGTATTGGATGATCTGCCCCGAAAGGATATTTGCGGGTCCAAAAAGTTCGTTTGGGGTGGTATGGAGGACAGTGCCGTATGAAATCGCGACGGAACGGATCTGAGATAGCGCCGACGACATTGCAGCACCGATGGTTCCAGACGACAGGGCTAAAGCAGCTGGTAATCATGATTTGTTCGTGGAATGTTCAAACATAACGAAGAGAAAACACAGACCAGAGGAATTTCTGCCGAGGTTTGGTCCCGAGATCTTACATAGCAATTTGAATTAGACTTCGAGATTTATCACAAAGAGCAGCTGAAGGTACTGACCACAAGGTCGATTGTTCCGGGATAAAGGTTATGAAGCGCGATGTTGGTACAGGTCGCGGGGGTCTACGGAGCATACGCCATAAGATAAGCTCGCAACAAGAATAGAAATCTTACATACACCATCCAGCAGTACCCACTCGGCCACTTCACCCTCACTTAAAGGACGCGAAGCTGACGATACCTCTCCCATTCCATCTTCAACAGACTTTCAATTAAGTATGGTGTATTTCTCATCGCATACTAGTACACTCACCGGGTTCCTTCGGGTAGTAATATCTTCCTCTCGTGATTTCCTGAATGTGAAACGCTTTCCCTGCAAGAGGTGCGTCAGCACGAGAGCTCGGACAGGAGTGTTTAGACTCGCCAATCCACGATTTCTGAGAGCTTGGCACGACTACCTTCACATCCCATCCTGGTTACATGTTAAACACAAGCGTCTTCATGCATGCAGGGTTCACTGAAAGCTTACTGAGGTTTGTAGTGAGATGTCGATAAAGGCCATAGATGTATGGAGATTGGGGACCTGGAGGGCCGTCATCATTCTTTGGCATGACATAGGTTATAGTTAGTGAAGGATCTTGAAAAGGAAGAATGAACACTTACGACGAGTAAAACTCTGGGAGACATTAGCTAGTATATCAGAGGAATGGTAATGAATGACCCTTGTTGTCACCAGCGACGGCGATGGTGATGAGCGCCTGTGTGTAAGATGATCATCGATTCCCATAATTAAAAACTGTCCACCATCTTGAACCACGCAACTTCTTCTGTCTCTTCGTTTTCGCTTCTGCTCCTGCCAGCCCTTCTTCGACGTCGGCCACAGCGATACCAGGCGACACCTTTAATCGAGGCTAATTCTTTAAGGGCTAGGCTCAAGGCTAGGCTGAGCCATTGTTATTTCCACTTAGACGTTGGCTCTACTCTCTACTGAGGCTTGCTCGAGCCGCCGTGTTCATGATTCACTAGTTCGCTGGTGATTCCATACCTCTCGACGACTACCAGACATGACTACGCCAATGACGAACACAAGCCATTGTTTACCCGCCATACCATCCCTCCCACCAATTCAGATGCCCGGCGACACCGATAAAAATACTTACCTTGACCTGGGACATGATCCAATTGCACCTGTGTCTGCATCGTCCACATCCCCCAAGGCTTCTTTTTCCTCTACTTCATCTACTCTTGTTGTTCCTCGTAACACTCCTTTCGATACAGGCTGCTCTGGATTTTCATTCTCGACTTCAACCGACCCTTCGTCCCAATCCTTGCGCAAATCAGTCTCTGTTGACTCATTTGTTGGTTACGATAGGGAAACGTCACAGAGAACAAGCGGTTCACGAGCGAATAGAGGCACCACTTACTCCACTTTCGAGGCATCTAGGACACATAAACAGGACGGTCTATTGCACAGCGAGCCCATTCTTTCTCAACCGTCTATTCGCAGTCGCGGTGCGAGTGTGAGTACGATGAGTCGGAGTCATGTTTCCGGAATAGAGCACGAGCGGGAGGCCGAGATTTTGCAGCGGCGGAAGCGACCAAGTGAAGGCAGACGGGGCTCTGTGAAGGGCAAAGATCACCCTCGAACAGCTCCCCGTCCAGGCGATCTAAATCTCCCTCCACGCATGCCGGTTCAGGCTATTGACGATACCCGCCGCTTGCATTCAACAACATCGCTCAGTTCACTGTCTGTATGTAATCCTGCGCTAGCCAGTCTTACGTCAGGGCGCGCAAGGAGTGACAGCCTTGGCTTGCCAACCACTACCGCTTCAGGTAGAAATCTATCGATTGATACTCTTCAGCCCTCTGTGAGCACCCGCCACACCCATTGAGCTCAATTTCTGATGTTGCGTGCCCAGTTTTTGTCCAAAGAGATAGCCATCGCAGTAGTCGGGTTTTCCGGTTGTGGCAAGTCGACATTCATCTCGGAGGACGCTAAAGCACACGGGGCATCGGATGTTGAGGCACTATTTGCGTCGCCGGGAACTTTTCCTCCCACTCCTTTCCGTTGTAAGTTCATATTCAATACATTACCCATCTTGTTCTATCTGACTGCAATCTCTCAAGACACACGTCGCTTTGACCGGGCGATACCACGCGATTTTTCAATGGTAATCTATGAGTTAGACATTGAAAAGGTCCTGCCCGAAAATCTTCCACCTGTCAGTGGGGTTGTCGTGTGTTACGATGCTGCCAACAAGGCTTCATTTTCTCCTGTGGAAGAGTTCATCCGTATGTTGCATTTTTCGTTTTCGTCGTTTTTTATCAATCATCTTTGAAAGGGCGGATACAACCGTTGAAGCTTTCAACCATAGCGGTGGCCTTGAAGACAGACTTGGATGTCGTTGTCGATCCGCAGGAGTCTTTGAACTTGTTGAAAAATTACCATGTTGGTCTAGTGCAGGTTGATCACTTGGGAGAAGCAGAAAGGGCTAGGATAAAGAAAGTGTTCAATTGGTTGACGTTATCTATTTTGCCAGGTCCTCGTGAGTCTACAGAGTGGTATATGAGTGTGGTGTTAAACCCTGTCGTTGACATTTCAGATGCTGATCTCCGAAATCCCGCATCACCAGATGCTCGCCACTCACCAATTACTTGGGAAGCCCGAGCATCAGTATCATCAACTACATCCACCGTTTCTTCTTCCACAGCTTCTACGCAAACCATGTCCCAAGACCAGGGTGGCTCGTTGCGACACTCACCCACTTCTACACTCCCATCATCTCCACCGCCAATCGCCATCTCTCCAACACGCGCCCGGTCAACTCCAGATCTCCTCTCGACCCATGAGATGTCAAAATCACGAGAGTCGTCTGAGCGAAAGTTATCGAATGCTCGCAGTGTCACAAGCTTTGTTGGGTCATCAAGCGTAAATTCCTCGTCGTTCGGCTCCTTCATTTCTGGGAGAGATCTTTCATTAAGTGTTACTGAGAACGGTCATTTTGATCACCCTGCGAGCAAGGAGAAGGAACCGTGGGTTGTCTGCAATCATTCGAATTAAGGCTACTAACTTTCTGATTTACTTAGTCGCTCAGGACAATACGCAACCCTGGAGGAATTACTTGATAAATTATTATTTCTTGCTGTCAGCGGTGATGGTAGGCTTGCCCTTTTTTGACCTGTTGGCACTACATGATTCACAGCATCGATTGTAGATCCAACATTTATCTCGCATTTCCTTCTTACATATCGAAGATTTGCAAGTCCTCGCAGTATTCTGTTGGCTATGCAGAAGCGAATGCGACAACTCGACAATTCAACTGGCGATCCGATGTTTGCGAGCTACGCACAGATGAGGTATCATAATCTTGCGACCTGAAAAGTCATCGTCCTAACTTACCGGTTGATTTGAAGAATATGCCACCTACTTGAAACCTGGATCCAGACGTATCCACAAGACTTCGCTGTTCCGGGGGCCCCTGGCGCCTTACACGCCCTGGTGAGGTCGATCGTCGGGAAGACATACCTCCTACATTACGGTTCCGATTTCCTCCCTTTCCTCTCACATCTTCCCAACATCATAGATACGGATGCGGCCTGGGCGCTCAAGTCCGAAAATCCTGTGGATGAGAGCGAGGATCCATACAGCATATCAGATGGAGAGGAGGAACCACTGGTTGTTGAGACTGAACCATCCTCTACGAGCCGTTCGTCGGTGGCTCGCTCGAACGACAACCTCCCCAGTGCAGCGAGCGTCAGGGAACGCAAGTCAAGCTTGCCGCTTAGCGCGAAGATATTTATACCAGTGAATTCGAGTCACGGCCAAGGAGATGTTCAAGATATGTCTTCGAAGGATCTCCTGATCAAGCTAAGGAGTAATGCCCAGACTCTGGCTAGCTTTGATTGCTCCGCGATCGCGGAAGAGATCACGCGAGTGGAAGCGAAGCTATTCATGGATATCGAGGTTAGCATTGATCACTACCGCGATTACCGTGATCATGACGACTTTTTTGCAGCCACGGCACTGGTTGCAATATACCCTCATGCCCGGACGCAAAGACCCTGAGTTGGACTCAATATCTCGATTCAATGCTATCTCCAATCACCTTGCCGATTGGTAAGTCGCCGTGGGTGGGTGGTGCCAATGATAAAGATAATTAATGGTTTCTCCAGGGTGGTATCCCTCATACTATGTCACGATAAACCGAGGAACCGCGCAAGGCAGATAGAGCGATTCGTGGATATCGCGCACGAGCTCCGCGCATTAAACAATTACTCAGCGCTGCGTGCTTTCGTCGCTGGAATCAATAGCTCCACTTTCCAGGGCGATGAAACCATGGAGATTTTCAAAAACAAGACTCCAGATCACTACAAGAATCTCTTGTCTTGGGATGTTCTTCTTCAACATCGCGGAGCTCATCAGGCTTATCGCATGGCGCTCAAAAACACCAAAGGCGCTTGTATACCAGCGCTGTAAGTGCGGTGACTTTCATTACAAATAGCTTGATATTTACCTCTTATTAGGGAAGTCCATATGTCCGACCTGATCCGTGCCCACGAAGGAAACCCCAATGTCAATCTGGATGATCCTACAAAAATTCATTGGGGAAAATTTAATATGTTTGGTCGGTTTATTCAAACCACCACCCACTGCCAGATACAGTGCCAAACAAATCCGGATTATTGCTTACCATCGCGAGATCGAATACTGAAGGTCATATTTAACGAATATGTCATGTCGGAAGATGTACGTCTTGGTTCGAAAACTCTTACCCTCCCTTAATTGACCCTACGTAGATGCAAACATCTCGAATGGCACCTCTTCCAGACTCAGATTTAGTTGAAGAACCCTTCCGCTCCACGCTGCCTCGAACAATGTCACGCGAACATTCAACATCCTCCCAGAGAGACACAACAATTCTTCGCAGAATACTGCAACGGTGAAAACAGCCCCCAGCATGTATCAGGATTATCCTTTTTGTATCTGCAGTTTGTTTCTATTCATCTGTCGCTCTCAGAGATCCCATTTGTTTGATACCCCGTCCCTGTACGTATCATATTTGTTGTTATTCGGCAAATGTACCCTTTCATGTTCAAGTTACGTCGCTACTTCACACTCATCCCATAGGCACAGTAGTAAATCTTAGCATCCATCGAACCAGTCGAAGAATATGTTGCACCTATGACCAATTGATATGTGTAATGCTCTGCAGTCAAACTGCTGCAAAATTTTGGATCGAGCACGTGACATTTTAGTGCTAGGCCAGATCTTCATAACACAACTGCTCGTAGTATCGCTCTCTGAGGAACTTTAGCCTGCTGAAACTCGTTTGGACTCTGTCGGTTGGTCGCACTACATTATATCTAGCCATGGACTTCGTAATGACCATCGAATCTGACGATGAATCACCACCTCAACGCAGAAGCAGCAAGAAGCAGCAAGTGGATGATGCCGCCCACCTGGACCCCGATTTCCAGTTTGATGTCGTTGGCGATCCCTACACCGATTTTTTAGAGTTTGGAACGCAGCAGGAGGACATTGTGAAGAAGGTCTCTAAGCCGGTGAGTATCACTGCTACACACAGTAGTCAGTCACTGAATTGGCACATAGGATCCCGTCTCAGTAGATGAAATCATCGAAAGACGCAAACTCAAGACTCTCTCAAAAAGAAAACGCGAGCCAGAGACTGAGGATGAAGCTGAGGACGGTATGGAGGAAAGTGATGCTAGCGGTGCGGAGGACTTCCCTGAAACGGATGGTTCGGGCGACGAAGATGACCCCCTTGCCAGTTCCGGCGAGGAAAATGACGAAAGCGCTGAGTCCGTATCTGAGGAGGACGAGGAGCAGGGTAATAATGTTGATATGGAATCAAATTCTTCGGATGAATCAGAAGAAGAGACTCAAGTCGAAAAGGATCGCAAAGAAGCATTCTTTGACTCGGAGGCAGCACCTACGGAGCATCATGCATCTTTTTTGACTATGAATCTTTCCCGTCCAATTCACAAGGCGTTGGCCAATCTCGGGTTTACTTCACCGACACCCATTCAAGCCGCGACCATCCCTGTTGCTTTGCTGGGCAAAGATGTTGTCGGAAATGCTGTCACAGGCTCTGGAAAAACTGCTGCATTTACGATCCCTATGCTGGAACGGCTGCTATATCGAGAAAAGGGGAAGCATGCAGCGGCAACTCGGTGTCTGGTGCTGGTCCCGACAAGAGAATTAGCTGTGCAATGTTATGAGGTCGGTTCTAAACTTGCAGCACACACTGACATTCGCTTTTGCCTCGTCGTTGGTTTGTTCCCTTCAAATTCCACAGCGGCCTGTTCTCATGTAAAACATCTAGGTGGACTTTCCCTCAAATCGCAAGAAGCAACTCTGAGGACTCGCCCAGACGTCGTCATTGCAACTCCTGGACGGCTTATCGATCACTTGCGTAATTCCCCTTCTTTCGCGCTCGATGCACTGGACGTTCTTGTTCTTGACGAAGCGGACCGCATGCTTTCGGATGGATTTGCAGACGAGTTAGCCGAAATCATCAAAGCATGTCCTGTTTCCCGTCAGACAATGCTGTTTTCCGCTACAATGACTGACACTGTCGATGAACTGGTGAAGATGTCTTTGAACAAGCCTGTACGACTGTTCGTAGACCCAAAACGAACCACGGCTCGAGGCCTTACTCAAGAATTTGTTCGTGTGCGAACGGAGAAGGACGCAGACCGGACTGCCCTGCTTGTATCTTTATGCAAGAGGACATTCAGACAGCGCGTTATCATATTCTACAAGAGCAAGAAGCTAGCACACCAGATGCGCATTGTTTTTGGTCTTCTTGATATGAAGGCCGAGGAATTGCATGGCGACCTCACTCAAGAACAGGTTAGACAGCACTTGTCCACTCTCTTACATGTCAGACATTGATTCTGGGATAGCGTCTCAAAGCTTTACAGCTATTTCGCGATTCACAAGTAGATTATTTGATGGCGACTGATCTTGCTTCTCGTGGGTTAGATATCAAGGGCATCGAAACAGTCATCAATTACGACATGCCTAACACATTGTCGCAATACCTTCACCGAGTAGGTCGGACGGCCCGCGCAGGCAAGTCTGGTCGGTAAGCTTCAATTTTTTGACCCGTTTCCGTTGATCGTGTGTTTTGATCATCATTGTAGCTCTGTTACTCTAGTAGGAGAAGGAGACAGGAAAATGCTCAAAGCAGCCATCAAGCACAGTGCGGGAGAAGATAATGTTCGCCATCGGGTTGTCCCTGCTGATATTTTTCCCAAATGGGTCAAGAGGGTAGAGGCTCTAAGAGATGAGGTCGCAACAATTCTTAACGAAGAGAAAGAGGAGAAGCAGGTAACTTGGGTCGTTGAATATCATTCCAACCGCTTTTATTCATACATTATACTAGATCCGACAGGCGGAAATGGAACTCAAGAAGGGACAAAATATGATCGAGCATCAAGATGAGATTTTCTCTCGGCCTGCTCGAACCTGGTTTCAGAGCGAAAAGGAGAAGGCAAAGGCAGTTGGTGGGTGAACATTTATAAGGTTTGCGATCAGCAAGAGCTTTACGCCGTTTTTTCTAGCCACGAGCAAACAGCAGCATGAGAGTGGAATGGCACTCGCGCAAAAAGGGAAACGTAAGGCTATTGACGAGCCCAAGGTAGGTTTGTTGCATCATTCACAACTCCTCTTTGAACTATCCCTTCAGCCAAAAAGAGATAAGTTTGCTGGTCTGACCAGGAAGGCAAAACGACGGAAGATGGCATTAGAAGCCGACAAGGAATTGGGTGAGGCGGGTGCTGTGAACGCTGCCATTCGTTCCGCAAAGAAAGCTGCTCGTCCCGCCAAGATTGGGATTCCAGACCACCGAAACGGACCTGTTTCAAAAAGAAGGAAGACGAAAAAGGGGGTATCGAGAACTGGTGGTAATACATTTGACAGGGATTTATCATCGAAGGCAGCAAGGGGTGAAGGGGTTCATGCGAAGAAGGGAGACGCAATCGGCGGGATGGGCAAGCGCAAAGGGGGAAAACGGAGGGACAAATAGCAACTTGTTTAATCGCCCAAAATTGGTTGGCGTACATTATGAGGCTAGACCACGTGGTCAAATGTCTACATACAAGTTCCTGTGTTGAGCATTTCGTGCTCTGCTTTCAGGCACCTACAGTATAAAGTTCAAAGTAGCAAAACTTTTTTTATTCTATTTAGTTATGAAGATTACTGAGACTAAAGTTCATCAGGGACGCAACCTTGTCATCCTGCTGTGGCAAGTAGATAGTGAAATCGAAGCGGTGTATTTGCAGCCTCCATAATAAATCTGGATGTAACCGTAGTAGGCTCTGCAGCGAGCGGCCCTGCGCAAACAGTACACAGTGCTGATCACCTAGAAGGAACAACCGTTCATCTTCCTGAAACCTCCAATGAGGGTCCAGGTCTGAACTTTAACAGAAAAGGCAACTGTTTCACGCGCACGTGGAAATGTAGGTGCCTGAACTTACAGAACCCTCGACTCGCCTACCTTGAGCCTAATACTTCGAATCGGGGACTGTGCTTTTGTATCATCAGAGGCAGAGCACATGGAGCACGACGCGTTTGCGTCACTGGCTGTCTTGCAGCTCTCGTCTCCATGCCGTCTACTGCCACTGGCTTGCTGCCCAGACAAGGACCTTGTCGTCCTGGTATCCCGTCTTGGTGGAAGGGATAGGTTGACTCTATGGAAAATGCAAGGAACCAAAAAGTGGGACATTGAGATAGAGTGTGACGAAAGCTCCATTGAAAGCGTATCAGCGTTAGCCTGGAGTCCGTGTGGTACGGTTATACGCCACAAATTATGCGCCGTGATATCTAACATTATTTACTGCAGGTCAGACGATCGCTGTCTCTCATGGATTCTCCCGCGTTACGCTTCATTCCGTGCAAGATGGGCGCATCGAGCGCTCTCTCACTATCCCGGCATTGTCGCATAATTCTGAACAACAACATCGAATAACCGGAGCTTGGTGGTTCCCGGGTTGCCGCGATTTATCAAGAAGCACCATTCCAGATATCTTCAAAAGAAACGAAATCAATGTCTGTGGATTGGTTTATCCTAACACTTCATCCACTCTTATCATACTGAAGACAGGGTCTGCTCTCTCCATATTGAAAGTTCTTCCACTCCTCGATCCCCTTCGAGAAGAAGATCACAAGCTCACGTGAGTCTTCCAGGGCCACAAAATTTGCACTCATTAACGCTTGTTCAGTGCCACCGACCTTTTCGCTTTCCAAGGGACGCAGACAGGTGCCGCGCTGAAGTTATCCATACCTGAAGTCATCAGTGATTGGCCATCGTTGCTACCAGACCCATCTCTTGCTTCTCTATGCCCTCCGATCTTGATCGATGAACAAGGCAAGACTGCAAAAGAAACACAGATTTATATTTCTGCGGAAGACGAGAACAGTCTCCTCGTGATAGGTGACGACGATGGCAAGCTTCACTGTTTCTTGGACGGCAGCTATTACCTAGGGCCGATCAGTACGCTTCCATCGACCGTGCCAACGGCAGTGTTCAAGGATCCGAAGCAACCGCTATTTCTACTTCATCCTCGGGCCTCAGCCTCCGACTTCTTGTCTGCCACGTTTGCGCCTCTATCGATCGACTTACCGTTGCTTGCCTCGCATAGGATCAGAGATTTCGCCAGGCTTTCCTCCGCCGCACGGGAGTTGATGTGGTATGTCATGCGGGTCATTGAAGACCTGCGTGAAGTCTGGTTTGGTTCTGGTTCACTTACTGGAGCACGAGAAGCTGGCCCAAAGTGGATTCAGCTGCTAGAAACCAGACTTCGTGATCAATTTGGCCGTTAGTGATGCTGTCCTTTGATGGATTTTTACTATTCTCAAGCTTCCTCGACAGAGAAGGAACCTAGTGCAATTCTCGAACTCACTGGTCTCCTAGTCGCTGGTTTGTGTTCTGAGGGACTTTCAGATTTCTTATCGTCCAGCGAACAAATGAGTGAAAGGGTTGATTTATCCAACGATTTGTTGTTCAGAGCTAATTTTGCGTTTAGGCTCTCCAGAAATGGGAGTCCACGGTGACTGATGCACTCATTAAACTGCGCGACTTCTCTACGTTGCGACTCGTTCCTGCGCTTCAACGGTTACATATCATTTTTGAAGAAGTTCGAGGGTGGTCACTTATGTCAAACAGGATTTTACTGGATTACTCATCGTTGTGCTGACACTCTTCCAGTCCTCAATTCGTCTTGTTTGGATTCAACACTGACGACATTACCCATTGTCTGTCTGTGCTGAAGCAAAGCATCTTCATTGCAAATTTGTTGGCATTTCAAGCAAGAGGGGAACTTGGGTCATTCAAACATTTCCTGAGTTTTCTTCGGTATGGTGAGTGAGTTACTGAGCTGCATACCCGTAGCCTATTTCCCGTGTTAGAAATCGCCTTAGCAGGTAACTCCCCCGAGACCCGCTCACCCCCTGAACATGATATCCTCGAAGTCAATCACTACTTAATGTCCGGGCTGAAGACAAGTCAAATAGACCGGTGGTTCACAGGACCAACTCCCCAATTTGATACCGGAGATCTTGGCTTGCCTCAACATAACACAGATACTAACAAAGTTCTTGAAGAAGCACTGGAACAAGCCCACACCGCGTTGCAGGATCCTTCTCAAACATCATGGCAGCCGGTAGGTTTCTCACTTAATTGTAATGTGTACTCTACGACATGAGTTTGTATGTGTTTTAGAAAGTCTCCACGGCCGATAAATCACATCTGGACCGGAATCTGTGGGTACTTGTTCATGATCTGGCTGTCCGGTGTCAGCGGGTCTTTGCACATGTTTCGAAAGCTACCGCTCGATCAGCCATCGTGTCAAGCAATGTTGGTGCTACGCCATTTCAGGTAGAGGCGAGTGAAACAGTTTCAAGCGGTGCTTGCCAATTTATCCGCGAAAGAGTTGTGCGACAAAATGAGGTGAGTCATGCTCTTTACAGTGCAGTGCATTCAACCAAATTCGGATCTCTTAGCCTGGCAACCACCTGCAGCATCTCGCGATCTATTTGGCCTCGGAAATGCGGCCCCTTTGTGAGTTGCGCCTTTGGCTCCTTCGCCTTTTTTGTAATTCAATGTGTACAAATTAGTCTGCCTGACCCGGGCGCCTTACGCAAAATGTGCCGCTGGGGTTCCGCTGCATGTTGATGTCATTGTTATGGAGTGCTCCATAGCTGGTCATGAGCCCGAGAATGTTACCGATGTTCATCTTTGTAACGCTGAGTTTTTTGACGACGAGATCCTCGTCATTGTATACAAAGTCAGAGGAACCGACGGTAAGGCATTATTTATGTCCATTTGGCTCTCCATTCAATAACAGTCAAAGGCCCGATGTTCGCAGCTACGGTTCACTACAGCGCCCTAGAGTATCAAACGCAATCAGAAGGATACGTAAATGGCCCCGCACGGAAAGATATGATAGCCAACGTGGTTCAAAGGTTGAATGAGGGGCATGTAAGTATCGTGCACCACCATGTTTTTGTCGAGACCTTGTGACCGGTGGTTTTACTAACGGCATGATACAGCTGTTGAAAACCATCCCGATCAAGAGACGTCGCCAATTAACCGCGTGCAGAGACGGATCAGTATCCCTCGCGGTCAACGGAAGAGCCGGAAGGAGAGTTGTTTGTATTCTTGACGGTGATGGCACGACGATGGATATACTGGATATGGAAGGAGATGAAGATATGGAAGGTGAGGATGAATCCGAGATGGATTCCACTTGTGCATAAGAGGGTATAACCGTAACGAGAGGATGTTGTGATTCGGTCCGTAGGTTTTGCATTCGCGGCCTCATTTTCATGGCACACGGCGTGTCTAAGCCGAAAAAGATGGATGACTATGTCCTTGGTGTGCCCCTTTAGGGTCGTGAATCTCCATTAGTGCGTTGATCGCGGTCACTGCGGTGAGTTGGAGTGAGAGAAGAGTGGAGAAGTGTTGGATCTATAGAGTGCAATCGGCCGTCAAAACGCGGCTTTGAGAGTGAAATGAAGGATTGCATCGGGGATTCGACCGCACATGCGCCAAAACATCAGGTTCCTGAGAGAGCGGCGAGCACCAGTGAGCAGGGTTGCTACCGGGTACGTTCAATGGCTCGGGAATGAATGCAGATCACACACCAAGGGATCACATGTGCAGTTAACTCCCATCACCTGAAGGTCAAACGTCTGCCAGCATCTACGATTTACAAACATATTATGATTCCGAATTGCAATAAACTTCCCCGTGAGGCCCCCACGGACAGTCTGAAATTGTAAACAGTTTCGCTTAACGTGATCACACCGCGGCCCTCTCCTCGTGCCCTTGATTCGAATTCTTTTTTTCCATGCCATTTTAAACCGTCCTCTCTTCTGTGGATCGTCTCAAAGTCCCTCCTTTACATCCCAAGCTCAGTGTCTGGCTGCGTTTGATAGAAGCCTTATTGTCCTTTTCACAACCTTTGTATTCACATGCCTAATAGAGCCGACACCGGCCATTCACCCTCAGACGATAAATCCAACTTCAAAGCAGACGTTGACGACGATCCTACCGCCCCCATGTCTGATATTGCTGTCCGAAAAAAGAAAAATGCGGATGCCCAAGCTGCCTTCCGCCAAAGGTGAGCCATACCTCTTCAACCCCTGCTTTAACCATGTTCAAATGTTATGTTTTTGAGGCGAGCAAACTACATAGCAACTCTAGAAGAGACAGGTCAGTTATCTCTACTCTATTCTACATTCATCGCTCATCCTTGTCATATGCCCTAGTCACTAGTCTTGAGTCTGTCGTCCTCCAACTTCAGGATTCATGTCGCGAAGCGCGATCAGAATCCGGGGATCTACGACAAGACAATGCACGCCTTAGACATGAATTGCGCGAACGTGAGAAGTTCTGGAGAGCCCTTTGGCAGGCGAGGAAGACAGGACAGGCTCCTGAATCCGACGACTTGCCCCCGCTCCCTTCATCTTTTGCTGCTCATCCTCAACCAACCAACATCAACAATCGTACCCCCTCGTCGCATGGTCATTATAGTGATGATAGCATGGGATATCAGACCAGCGATGAGACGTCCAATTCTTTGTGCAGCAGCTCGTATACCAGCGCGCCAAGTCACTCATATGCGACTCAGTCTCCCGCACTTTCTTACACTGGCGTAGAGACCGAACAGATAACCTCCGGTGGAACTGGACATCATATGAACGCCCGAGTATCAAGATATGGTTCTTACCCGTATCCGATGCAACCCATCAACCGGGACGGACCATGGACTCACAACGTGGCGCAGACTACGTCCGCTAATGGTTAGTTAATGCTCCCGCCACCTATCTTACGACTTCTGATAGAGCTTGTAGGTTCTCCTACCTTGACATCTCCTGATGTATATGCAAACCGCCCTTTTGAAGAGCAGAAGACTCAACTCAATCACTTAGAAACAACCCCATATCTCTTTCCCAGTAGTCGTTCCATCTCCCCCACTTCATCAACTCCCCCATCCTCATCTAGCACGTCCTTGACGTCTCCATTCCAATTTACGTTCCCTGCTGATGGCCCGATCACGCAAGATCGTGCAGAATTTGATTATCGCAGGCACTCCAATACCCACGGTGCTGATTTAACCTTACATGGTGGCACTGCCGACATTTCGCTTCCTAGTGCGGGCAGCGACGGTGTGCGTTATAGACTTGGGGCCCGTCGCGCGAATTCCGGCCCGAGTCCACTTCTACCCTCCCTTCCTCACTTCTCTGGAAGCGAGAATGGCTCTCATCACGAGCGAGGGAGTAGCGAAGGTGAAGCCACCCCCTATTCGAAACTCCGACCTCGTAGAGCACGTTCTCGGGAGTCGAGGTCACCTTCTCCTAGTGCACCCCCAATCTCGGGCACGCTGGCGGTCATCAAAGCTCAAGCTTTTGGAGCACTCCGTCGAACTCGTACCAGGACCAAAAAAACTTCTGAAGGGGCGGCTAAGGTTGCTATGGAAGTTCTCGAGGCCAGGGGCATCGGAATGGGCGTAGTGGCTGGCTCGAAGCGTCCCCGCCTTCACCACGACGATTCCGACATGCAAACATGATGCAAATATAAATGTACTCCTCAACGATTACCAGTTCACTCATTTGATCCCTAGGGATTGTATTATTCTTCTCGTCACCAGTGGACTATGTAACCACAATTATTTGTACAGCGATTAAAGATCCCAGTTACTTACTGTATTGCACTTACTTCATAAAGGTCTGCTGCATAGTGTCACATGTAATATGTTATGTACCTTCGTTGCACAATACATTTATTATTAAAACACTCTGATGGCTGCGCATGCGTAATACCGCGTGTCCTTCGCGGAAGTCGGTAACTCGCCAGCGGCTCACTGGCTAATGCTATCGTTATACTGGTCTGGATCTATGGGCTCGTGGCATTCGCGTACGGGCCGACAGAAGTCATTTCTGCTCGGCGGAGGACAAAGATATTTAGAAAGTAAGATTCTATGCTGTGCTCCACGTTTTGAACAGGGTGGACCAATTATCAATTAAGTCTCGGAACAGCGACATCCCACGGTCCTCTTATCTCGCTGCGGAAAGATATGTTAACAAGAAAGGAAAAAGCTTGACGAAGTGACGTGCTTTTTGTATTTTTGTGCCCAGACTAGGACTCCCGGGGCAACGAACGTCACCGTAATCGAAATGCCTGCATAAAGGTAGGCGACCGAAACGGATAAAGGTAACGTTAGAGCAAACGATAGTACACAAAGGGTCAGTGTGAAGAGGATCTGTGCTACTTGTGGTGTGACCTATAATCAGAGTTTACACGATAATGTAACTAGGCAAAATTACCGAACCCACCTGAAGCTGATGACGTAGGATCGGGAAAAGAGCGAACAATTGCACAGCAAACAGGACAAGAGCAAAGACAGCCAAATCGTCAGGCAGTCGCGAGGCCAAGACAACCGATGACGAGATCGCGGCATTCATGGATAGTACAGATGTCAGTCTACACGGAAGATGAGAATTGACAACAGGGTCAACGTGGCACTAACCCACCTTTCCTGTCGGAGTGGTTTCATGGAACTATAATCGGCGAGCAACGCGTTAAGAAAGAAGAGACATGCTGAAAGCGCCCAAATGGAGTCCGAGGACGTTGCTGCGGTCAAAGTTCGCAAAACAGGTGACAAACCCATCAACGCGAGGAAAACAAGAAGGGACGATTTGATCGTATTTGAGCCTGGTAGGTGCAACACAATCAATGAAGGGTCCAGGGGTGCCAGTGGATGTGGAGACGTACGGGTGAAGGCACCACGAACAGGATTAGAATAGCTGAGGATCTCATACATAGCATATCCCCCAAAGAAACTAACTATCGAGACCCACAACAGGACACGGGCATCAAGCCAGCGTTCCTTGAGCCTCACAAAAACTGCGAGGAATGTGAAGATTGTCGCTAAGTGCTGTGTGATCGCACAGCATAGCAGTACTAGTGGCCAATAGGTGTACGGCTTGAAATTAGCTTTAGAGAATATTAAGTACCACGTTTTGGAGATAAATTATGCCTACCAACGGTTCCGCCTCAAGGAAGAGAGGAAAGAATGAGGGTGGATGTAATTATCAGGAAAAGGCTGCCTTTCCCACAACACTTTGTTCCATCCATCGGCTTCGGATGACATTCATGCGTTCGGTGATCGTAGAGACAGTTCTTAAGGGCTACTTATGTATTTGGTAGACGTTGTGACGATCACACCACGTGCGGCATCGAACATCCGCCTTAATGCAATGAGCCGAACCGGGGGATTCACACAACCATATCATATCCTCCAACAATCATCATTTACCCATTTACATCTCAGGGAGTACATGGACCAAGACAAATCAAAACGGCGTCACTTTCTTCGATCATGGGAACAGAAGAGATGGCATGCTCTACAATGAAAACAACGTGTCCGAACATCCGAGTCATGCTGTCTCACCGGTAGTCCGCTGAGTTCGACGACGTGTAAGATAATAGTGGGGCATGATATACAAGAAGAAACATGCCCATGAGGCCTTGAGGGATCACTTCATGATTGAGCGGGTCCGAGGTAAATTGAAAATTATGGGAGGGATCGGCGATCCTGTATTAAACAGCACGAGAAAACCTGGAGGTCAGAATAAGAAGTCCGGAGGATGGATGACCCACATGTTATACTGGCGGTGAGGCGATACACACGCACAAAGTATTATTCAATCCCACTAGAAGTAGCGACAGTGAGGAACGGTAAACAATCGGCCATAGAGCTTGACATTACCACTAGCCGTTCTTCATCTCTTGATGTAGGTACTGATCTCACCGCTTTCGCGGCCTCGACCTGTTCGGCAAGTCGTCCCCGATTCGGATTCGAGGCATTAGTACCTCGTGCATGTGCCTATGCTGCCTGGTGAATCCTGTAAATGGATACTAATTCAGATTCGGCTTACCGTTTTCAACCTTCTCTCAGCAGCCTCTGCAGCTGCGGCGCGAGGATTAGAAGGCGGTGTCACGGTGGTGCCATCATTTGACTGGGCGACAGTGCTTCCCAACACCTGATGTCCCCCGGAATGCACACCGGCCTTGGAGCACAATGAGCCCATGAAGCGCTAGTAGTAGGTGGCAGAACAGACTTTGATTGTTATAATGTTACACAAGTTTGTTGTCCCTTAGGTGCTAAAGAGACTGAGAACGGGTATTAAGACGTTGTGGTCTGAATTCAGGAAGCGCAGCCTAGTGTGGCGCCTGAATATGCTCTATAAGGGAAACATGTGTAGGCAAGGCATTGCATCACCGTGGATCTACTGCAAATCGTACATATCAAAGAACTATATGGGAAGCGTATTCGATATCTCTGCGTAATTTCCCCGACTGCCATTGCCAGTGGGGCGCTCACGAAGGTTATAGTCTTCAGAATACCTACGCGGTAACCATTCCTGCAATTATGACTGAGTATCACTCAAAACGAAAAGAAACTGTATGAACCTCCCACCACCGCCTGCTGGCAGACCATGCCGTACTAGAATCCAAACCTGCCTTGAGCATGCGGTTTTTAATGCTGACACCAAGTAACAGTCCGAGGATAATCAATAAAAAGAGGGTGACCACAAGCTGGTCCCTAGGAGAATCTCGTTCTGGTAGGGACAAATTAACGTTGGCAGACACAAGGAAATTGAAGACGCACGAAAACATCGCGCTTCCACATCTCCCTCTAGACCGGTCGCAGTGTCTGGATCTGTGTCGCCAAGAGCTGCACCGGCGCAGATAGGTAGATTCTGATTCAAGCACCACTGCTTGGTGCACGATAGACAAGGTTTGGAGGGGTTGTCGGGCGTGTTCAGGGATAAGATCGTATAGTTGGCAGAGAAGCAGATGCCTAAATTGTGATTAGACACTACAGCATGATGATCAAGTTCAAGGGACTCGCATTTGCAGAAGTTTGTCACCTCCCACTTATTCATGGCAGCTTCGACTGGCGCCTGCTAAAATTGTTAATTGAAGGGTCCCGGTTAGATAAAGATTAACTCGACATACGATGCTGAGTATGAGCGTAATAAAGAGAAAGCTAATAAGCCGTGTGGGACCATGTCGTATCATGACGAAACGCAGTGGTGGCCAGGAGGTGGATGTGATATTATGTGAGAAACACGCTCAAACGGTCAAACGCGTCTGCTTTCACATTTGATCGTCAAACCGAATCTTTAGACTTCCTTAATAACTTTTTTTCTTCATTATCACTGCAGGGATGTCGGCAGAATTTGAGGATGTCCTAACAAATCAACCTGTCGTGATAGACAATGTAACGCTCATCTTCCAGCTACGGCGCGTGTAGGCTCAACTAGGTTTTGAACAGGGCTCAGGAACTATCAAAGCAGGTTTTGCGGGTCAAGATCATCCGAAATGCTTTTTTCCGTCATTGTACGTTTTTACAGCGCAATGCTGGCCAACACGTGGTTCCAATCACTTGAATTTCTAGCGTTGGGAGACCAAAGCATGTGCGCGTCATGGCTGGTGCCCTTGAAGGTGATGTCTTCATCGGTCGTCGTGCACAAGAGTTCCGCGGTCTTCTCAAAATAAAATACCCTATGGAACATGGCATTGTAACTGATTGGGACGACATGGAACGGATATGGAGTTGGATATACGCTGAAGAACTTGGGACCCTTAGTGAAGAGGTATGTCCCTTTATCTAATATAGGTGCCAGGACGTTCCGATCAGAATGCCTGAAAGCACCCAGTTCTCTTGACGGAAGCGCCGCTCAATCCAAGGAGTAATCGTGATGTAGCCGCTCAGATATTCTTCGACACATTCAATGTTCCAGCTCTCTTCCTCTCCGTACAGGCCGTTCTTTCGCTGTAAGTTATATACTTGTCATAGTTATTCTAGCCCCTTCGAACTATCCATAGATATTCTTCAGGGCGGACGACTGGCATAGTACTCGACTCTGGGGATGGTGTTACACACGCTGTCCCAGTATTTGAGGGTTTCTCGATGCCTCACGCAATTCGAAGAGTGGATGTCGCCGGAAGGTATGATGTCCATCTTCCCGTCGAATAACACCCTCATATGTCGCATTACACAGAGATGTAACTGACCATCTACAGCTACTGCTAAGAAAATCTGGCCATCATCTACACACGACTGCGGAAAGAGAAGTTGTTCGGATAATAAAGGAAAAGTGCTGTTATATCGCGTTAAATCCTTCCAAAGAGGAGAAGGACACGGTGGGTCGGACTGAAGAGTTCCGTCTCCCGGATGGAAACCTAGTTCAGGCAAGTTCCCAACTTCTAGTCTGGAGATGCCAATTACATATTCTTGCAGCTGGGACCTGAGCGATTCCGTGCTCCCGAAATATTGTTTAATCCAGAGCTCATTGGACAGGAATACGCCGGTGTCCATCAGGTTGTTGTAGATTCCATCAATCGGGTTGATTTAGATCTGCGGAAGAGTCTCTTTTCGAATATTGTGCTCAGTGGAGGCAGCACGTTATGCAAAGGTCCGTAAGCTTTAGCAGGCAACTTACTCGCACTGATAGCATCTTCAAGGTTTCGGCGACCGTCTTCTCAACGAAATCAAGAAGTTGGCTTTGAAGGATATTAAGATCAAGATTTACGCCCCTCCGGAGCGTAAATACTCGACGTGGATAGGTGGTTCTATTCTTGCAGGTCTTGGAACTTTCAAGAAGGTTGGTCTCAACCTGTTCTATGTTGGTAGTTCTGAAACATATCCACAGATGTGGGTATCAGCAGAAGAGTATCAAGAGGATCCGGATATTATCCACAAGAAGCTCGGCTTCTAAAGCTTCAGCTTTACTGTGTTTCATCCCCTCTTTGTAGGACTGTATGCTCAACTATGTTACCACTGCATCGATACCCGACATAATCAACTGATTTTTCAATGCTCTTAAGAACGCACAGATTCCAATTGAAATGCTTGTGAGCCGCATGTGCATATGATTCATGAATGTGGTTGTGAGTGTGACATACGCCATAGGTACAGCTCGCTCGACTGGTTCTCAATAATAAGGGGGGCACTCGAGCAAGAAAGGAATATAGACTAATGCGAGAGGGTAGTGTCTACTTGCCCTTCTTAGCAGGCTCAGCAGCCTTAGTCTTCTTAGTACCACGGAACTGCAGACGAAGTGTATCAGTCCATCATACGATAATGATTGAAGAAATTGTCGTACCTTCTTCGCGCGGTTCTTTCTCTCGTGTCGCAGTTTACGTGAAGGCTTGTCAACTTTGGTTTCAAGGCCAGACTAGTTAGATAAAGAATGAGATCGTAGTCGTGTGGTAGGGGGAACAAAAGCTTGCCTGGACCAGTCTGTGCTTAGGCTCGAATCTCCTCTGTGATGCCTCATCATCGTAAATCAACGCAAATCCAGTGCTACGTCCACCACCGAATTGTGTTCGGAAACCGAAGCAGACTACGCGTGCTTTTTCCGTCTTGTACATGGTAGCCAACTTCTCTGCGAGCTCGTTTTTTGGTACGTTCGCCCGCGATGGGTGGAGAACATCGAGTACAAACTGACGGCGCGCCAAAAGGCGGTTGGTGATGAATTTACGGGCGCGAAGGGTGACGGGTGCTGTGTTGTCGGCCTAAAGTCATAGACCGTAAGCTTAGTACATCCAACCTGCATTGGTACCATCCATCGCCTCCCGACCGCAGATCTCGCTCGGTTTCGACGATTCGACATAGTACAGCAACCTGCAGCATTTGACGGGAACTCTCACCATGATTCTTGTCGTCCTTGACGTTTTGCGACCTTTTCTTCCCGGGGTCTTGACGAGATGGTGCGTGTAGGCGCAAGTAGATCGAAGTCCGTTCGGCAGAATCCGTACACAGCCACCTGTAATTGCCCAAAAGGGTTGGATAGCTCCTTAGCCTTGAACTCCCTCGGGCTTGTGATATCATAGAGTTATGTCATCTAGCTTTGCCTCTTCATTCGCGCCCTATGTAAGCATTCTCCATAGGCCTTTATGAATGAATTGTACCCATGCGTGCAGACCCCTCCACCAGATGACTCTTCCTACCGATCAGCGCCGTCTTCAAGCTCCAAAGCGCAGTCGTGGTTTCCTGTTCACTCATCCTCACGAGGAACAGAGATATCTTATCAATCTGGCGGTCTCCCTACATTTAACAATTCGATAAGTGGGCATGAGGACACTCAGGAAGATGTTCAGCAGAACCAGTGGGAAACGAGTTATGGAATGCGTGTGGATGTTCTATCAGCCTTCGCATATATCTTGGGTCCGATCTCAGGTAAGTTATACAAGTATAAGAGATTATTTCGTCGTGTCATGATTTGCTTCAGCTTTGATATTACTTGTGCTGGAAACTCATAACGATTATGTTCGGTTTCACGGTGACCTTCCACGCTTCCTCACTGACTTACCACTGAGCTCATCGTTAACAGCCTACCAATCTGCCTTGTTAATGACACCCCTGCTATTAGTGCGCATATTTGCATCACTACTCGGGTTTCCTTCGTGGATGCGGTCATTTCTCACTATTTCATTCGCACTTTCCGCACTTTTCATGGCGTAAGTGATCCGTAAAGTCGGTATGAGTCCCGAGTTCACACATTTCAGCGTACGAGCGTACTTTGGAGCTTCGCGCGGAGGTCTCACACGTTATCATATCCAAATAATCGGGCCGCTCGCTGAGAGATGGGTCTTCGAGGAATGAGCTACTCTCCTCCGCGATATCATCCAACATCAATGTACACCAGGATTACACCCTCTATCTATGTAGCAACGAATACGTGAAAACATAATAACAAGCGGCGGCCCATTTCGAGCAACAGCATGCAGTGGGTGCAAGCCACTGCATTTTTCTATGTCCACGCAGTTGATTACGGGCGGACTGGGACACGCACACTGCAGGCCAACAATTTTGTGAAGGACAAAGAACACTTTCCTTCTAATTACTGATGTTGTACGGAGGACCTACGCCTGACCTCCCGGTTACACCACAGTTACAGGGCTGCATTGAATTTTCTAATATTACTCATCCGCATGTGTGTAAAACAGTACAGACTAACAAGAAATGCGCAGTGACGTAGCACGGTGTGGTGGATGCAACATAACTACTATGTGCAGAATCGAGCTCACTTTCAGTCGACCAACTCGTTTCATAGATCATCACACGGATTTATGTAAGACATCCTTGCATACTTGAATCGAAATCCATGATAATGGACTATTTCGTCTTTTCAGGGAGGTAGTCGAACGAACAGCATAGATAGTTTAAAAAGCATGAGGAAGTCCGTGATAATACAGTGGCAAGGTAAGTACAAAACAAATCTGTACGCGCGCTCTAATAGAAGTGTCAACGCGTGTGCTCTATAGATATATAGTCTGTAGTTATAGAAGAAATCGAGTCTAACCCGATGTTATATGCAAAGACCTACAACCTGGACGCCAGACGCGCATGTCGCGGTCACAGCCTTGCCGAGAACAGCCTGAAGGAGGGGTTGTATCGCATTGATGATAGCATCGGTCAGATTCTCGACGATGTCCAGGAGGTCGTCCAGAGTACATTTGAGATCATATACGACTAGAAAGACAATTCATAGCCGCTACGCACATAAAAGATGACTGGGACTTACTGGGACCCAAGATCGGACCGACAATAGGCAATGAGACAACAAGGTTGTAAGTGACCGTGAGGATGTCTTTGTTGGCGTTGATAATGCTCTCTAGCAAGGTCTCTAGGTTGTTGGTGGGATCTAGGTTTGCGACGCCGTTGTCGCCGCCAAGTTCTCCTAGAACAGAAGTGAAGCCCACAAAGTTCGTATTGAATCCAGAGAGCTCTGTTGAGGCCTGCTGTTGGAATGCGGGGTCGGAAGCGGACGCAGACGTTGCATTTGAGGCCAGGTTGTCTATACGAGAACGATAAGTAAAGGCTACAAACAATCCCCACTTTACCAACGTACGGTAATTTGCGGCGTGCTGCAAAGCCTGACGGTGATATCTTTGTAGACGAGCAAGCTTGCCGCTTGACGCGTTCGAGCTTCCATGAGCACTAGCAGCAGACGGTTCACGCAGCACGTGTGGAACACTCCTAGCGGCTTTACGTTCTGTGTGCCCTGCCGTTATCCGCGATGGCGCCTTCGGTGACTTAGCTTGTACGGCTGTAGTATGAGAAGCTAGATGCTTAGGCGTGGATAATCTGTCCGTTCTGGCAGCGATGTTCGCGAACCCGTCAAAGGCCTTTGGTGAAGACGGCATTGAGATTGGTTTGGCCAGGGCATGCTGTACCGCGAAGGGTGTGCTAATCATCAACGTCATGGCGGCGGCGGGCAAGAAGACAAGGAGAGAACGCATGACCGGCATATTGAAGGAGTGGGATTAAAAGGAGCGTGGAGAAGAGTTGTAGATATTAAGACAAGCGACTCGCGCTGAAGTTATAAGAGATATAAAACTAGAGGAACAATGTAGCAAACAAGTTCCCAGACTTGCGATAGTTGTGGTAGAAGGCAAAAGTGCAACTCATCTAGTGAGACGCATTCTTATACCTAATATTTAGATCGCCAAACCTTATTAATCAAACCTCGTCTCTGATTGGCTCCCCCCACCTCGCGCCGATATCACGTGATGAAAAGCAATCCACCCACAAGATTAGGTTTGAACCTCTTCACATGAGATCTGGGCGTGGGTCATGACACTCTATAACGCCTAATGGCCACTATTGATCTAAGAAACACAGTTCCACTTGATCTGCGGGATCGTGAGCAAGCTTCTCAAAGGCGCGTAACTACGACATATTTTCTTACTGGGAGCCCGATCATGCGGTACCAAATACATTACAGTTTCTATATAGTTTAAGGAAGACTCGGCACGCATTGTGTGCAATAGACCAACGACAGAATCTGCCAGTCAAAGAAAGAAAGTCTTCGCCAATGTAATCAGATGTGCTGCGCATTGGTACGGGGAGCATAATAGGCAGTGTTTTGTCTGCAGTTCATGATTCATTGAGCACAAAAGAAGGTACACTACTATTTATTCTCTTAGAATGTTCGTCAGTGCGAGAAAAAGACTCAAAGGGAGAGGGGTATGTGCAGACTGCGAAGACCGCCTAATCAACCTGTGCTACAGAGGTCAACGCCACGGATGATTTTTTCGTACTTTCAACACTTGCCTAACATATCCGCTGACGCTTTTTGAAGGGCCCGTGCGGCGAAGTAACGCACGTCTGCGTCAGAATCTGTTTTCTGTTGCTCTAGCACCGGAACAATGCTTTTACGGACAAATTCGCGACCCTCCGTAGTATTTCCATATGTAGTGGCAAGGACTTCTAGAGACTTGGCGACATTGAAGCGGATGTTCGGGATGGGGTCTTCAGCAAGCTGCAGGAGCGGTCCGATAATCTCAGCTTGAACAATTGCAAGATTCAGGGAAGGTGCGATAGTCTACAATTTGAAGATCCCGCTCAAATCGCTGCAGCCTAGTAAAGATAAGCACGTACTGTGATCGCTTGCACGGTGGTCATCCTGTAGAGGTAATTTGGATGTTGCCCCATACCCATAACCTTAGGGACAATCTGAACCTTCGCCCAATCGACGCCGAAGACTTCCGTCAGTTTCTTGAGGTTGATGGTCGCAGATTCGCGTATACTGAAGACTGTGTCACCCAACCAGGACATGCACAGGTTCCCAAGTTGCTCGTCGAAGAAAGGTTTTCCGAGTTGTGTTGCGAGAAGGGGGATATATTCTATGATAGCCTGTCTGACGCGCCATGACTTATCCTCTGCAAGCTCGATGATGGCGGGAAGAAGACTATCAGACAGGAGTTCGATATCAATGACTGACAATAGCAATTTCAGGGAACTATTCACATGCAAACGGGCAGGAAGCTTACCACCATTTACAGTCTCGAGCTTACTGATGACATTGAGCCGAACGTCAGGAAATTCGTCCTTTAATAGATGAAGGAACAAGGGTAGGAGATGCTCTATAGTAGCATCTCTGCCCAAGAGCGGTGCAAGGCCACTGATATGGTTTGCAAGAGCGGCTCGCACGTGCTGAGACGCATCATGCGAGAGGTCACGCACGCAAGGCACGATGCGTGCAAGGATGACTTCCTTCTCGAGCAGTTTCGAAAACCCTGAAAGTCGAGGGCGGAATCAAGCAATATTCTATAGTAGTATCGATTACCATACCTGGAATTTGGCCTGCAGCCGCTGTGCGTACTTCTGCCTCGTTATCTTTCAGAAGCTGCACATATTGCCCTATTAACTCCTCCCTAACCAGTTCTGTGCCGACGGCTTCTGCGAGCTAAACGCCAATATAAATTATGGTACCCAGATAAACGTAGAATTTGGCATCAAGGACGCACCTCATTAAAATGTGTTGCAGCCATATATCGCACTCGCCAGCTCTTATCAGCAATACTGTGTCTAATTTGCTTCAACAGCTGCTCCTTCACCTCAGGTGGCGTAAGTTGCTTCGCGATAACAATAAGATCTTCTACTGTGAGTAAGCGCACAGAATCCTGATCATCGGATTGAAGTCTGCGGTAGATAGGTAGCCCATCCGACAAGACATGTTGCTTTGACAGGTTTTTAAGAAATGGCTGCCAGAAAGTTAGTATTTCAATCGCCGCAGAGACAGAATATATATTACGCACCCCGAGCCACTTTGCTGCAGCACGTCTGACCATAGGTGTATCATCTGCACCCAGAGCAGCGAAGCCCTTCCGGAGATCCTCCTGGATTGACCACGATACTTTGTTGTAAACCGGAGGATAAAGTGCAGCAGAAGAAGTGCGTGATGTAAACCATTCGCCCTGTGAGAGCCGCTTCAGGAGTGGGATGTAAAACTCTTCGATTTGCGGAGTAGATAGAACTTCGGCTATTTTGGCGATAGATTCTGCAGCCTGGTGGCAAAAGTATAAGTTATTAACCAATCGATCCAGCAACAGTTCTTGAGGATGCGTACCTTATCCCGTACCAGGGTCTCTTCTACTGCGGATAAATTCTCCAGGGGGCCAAGCAGCACATGAGCGAATTGCTTTCCACCAATGTACTCCTCAAAATTCCTTCCAAGCTCTTTGGCCAAAGCCAGTAGTACCTCATCCTCATCATCGACAGAATCTTGCAAGAAGGGAACAAGCTCGTCACGGGCACGATCTGGCCCTAAAGCAAGTGCAATCGTGGGTATGCTGTGAATAGCGTTGAGGCGTAGTTGAACGTCTTCCGAGCGCAGCTCGTCCATTAGAACGGCAATAGGTGCAATCTGCAACAATGATGTGTTACTTTCATGTTGTTCATTTTGATGATGAGACTCACGTCCTCCATGGTGTATCCGGGTTCCATCGCAGTGGCGCTGTACCAAGAGACGTTCAGTCCCAGTTGAGAAATCACGCGGGGGCTTCTTACTGTTTAATAAGTCAGATGCTAGCCTGCTACACCTCTACAAGAGTTGCAAGGCTGGAGATGGTTGTGTTGGAAAGTGTGATGAGTCTAGCGATTAAACGTTGAGGGCAAGTGATCTGTCCTTGATTAAGCTTGATTAAGGTGAAGGGTGTATCTTTGTTTAGCCTGAGGTGCATTTAATTCAATCACCAGGCCAATATTTATCGTTCAAGTTTGCAACTATAACTACCCAGTGCAGAATATCAGAAATATGATGATCGCACTGACTCCATGCTACCCGTTGGTACCGTCGCTGAGGCAAGTACTCTATCGTGGCTGATGCCGGCTTCGAGAGCTGGTACTCGTGAGACATTTAACGGAATCGGAACTGACCAATTGCAAGTAGTACCGTCATAGTTTCGTGCTGCTAAGGGCGGAACGAGGCTGGTCACTGCACCAACAAACCTAGCCCCAAAGGCCGTCACGAGGGATAATAGACATATCACTCATCAAGAACACCTTCATCACGGATCCTGTTGTACATATAGAGGGTAAAGCAGTTAACCTCCGACTAAAAGATATTCGTCCACTGTAACCTCTTCACGAAGAAGAGAAATATCAGAAAAATTATGCGATAATCATCAACAGCATGC